GCTGCGTGCCTGGGCGCTGGGCGCTGGGCGCTGGCCGCCGGCCGCCGACCTGCTACGCGCCGGCCCGCGTCTCTGAGAAGTCCTGAGGTAAACGGCGCTCTGTGCAGTTCGCTGACTGGCTAACGGCATTCTTTCTGTGGAATGAATTTAAGTACGTGAATCTGGACACTAGTGTGAGGTCCAGAGTTTTCAGATGTGGGTACCGACTCCGGTCTCCAGAGTTGGCACGAAAATTGTTTTCAACTAGAGACATTGGAGATTGAGCAGCTACAGAAAGCCGCTTTCCTGGAGCTTCCCGTGTCTCACTAAAAGCAGAAACTTCCGGGAGCGAGAGTGCCTGGCGCGTTTTATGGCCGCGCGGGGGAAAAAGAGAGGGACGCTTGCATCTGCATGAACACCGCAGACCTGGTCCTGTTCCCCTAGAAACCCACCCGCGGAAGCCTTTTCTTCCCCTCCTCTCCCTGTTACGCTGGCCCCCAACTCTAACCGTTTAGGGAGCTGCCTCTTCTGTGAGCCACCGTGTAAATGAACTTCACTCTACTTGTCGGCCTGTCAGCTTTCAGGCCCCCCAGCACTGAGCCGTATAGGGTGGAGGGAGAGACACCCTCTACCCCGGCGGACTTTACCGGGTGGCCTTGAAATCAGTCTCCCCATCCCTCCTTGCCCCCTCTCCGCAGTTACAGCAGCCAGAGCTAACCTCTGTGCCCTTGCAGTGCTCTGCTCTGTGTGTGTGAACTTTCTTCTCTGCAGGCTTTTTAAGTTCAGATATGGCTCTGCAGATTGCTTATAAAAACTGTTACGTTTGTGTGCAGCCAAGGCACTAAATACACTGGCTCAAAAATCCTGTGATGTCTGTTACATTGGGGGTAAACAGGAATTAATTCCCTTTGGGGGCTATGTCTCATAGGTCTTTGACTGGCACCGCCTGATCCCCCTCACCTGGGCCCTCGTTGCTAGGCGGACTCCTCATCTTGGAGAACAGAAAAGGACAGCTGCTTTTCTTTTGCGTAAACTGACCACAGCCTCCAGTGGAGGGGGCCTTGAAGATTCATCCTTTGCTGAACCCAGAAAGTATGTGCAGGAACCGGAGTGCAGGACGAGGCTCGTTCAACACCTCCTTGAGAAGCAGAGGACTGCCGTGGAACGAGAGGTCACCAGCCCCCTTCTGGACATGGGTTTCAGTGAAGTGCATGTTAACGAGCTGCTCAGTATACAACCAGGTGCCCACCCTCAACAGTTGCTGGACATCATTTCAGAGTTAATACTCCTGGGTCTGAATCCGGAGCCCGTGTATGTGGCCTTGAAGAAAAGTCCTCAGTTATTGAAACTGCCTATAATGCAAATGAGGAAGCGCTCCAGTTACCTTCGAAAGCTTGGGCTGGGAGAAGGTACGAGGAAGTGCAGATTTTATGTGTAGTACCGAGGAGGCCGAACTAGGGAACGAATATCCTAGGGGAGGAGGATTAGGGGAGGTTACTGGGGAAAGTCCTGGAGAGGAATGTGATTTGGCTTGGAGGTGAGGAAGAGGGGTGACCTCTGTGGAGGGCATTGCAGGAGGGGAGGGGGGAGTCGGGTGATGGGCGGGGACTCTTGGCTGGTTTGTTCCCTGTGGAGGCTCCAGTCTAGAATGGAGGTGGGCATGTGGTGTGTGCACAGCGGATGTCAGTATGTGACGTTGACGTGTGTGTGTGTGTGTGCGTGCGCGCGCGCGCTCTGATGTTTACATTGACTTGAGGTGGTCCTGCTGCTTTGTGTCTGATGTAAAGCCAGAGCCTCACAGAGTTCCTTGTAAAGACTTGGATTTCAGCCAGGTGTCTCGATTTACTGAGGAACAGGAGATTTCCCCGGATTCCTGGGGAACCAGTGGAGTGAGCATTCCCCCCAGCCAGCCACCCACACCCAACTTGATTCAGGCCTCGGGGATCCTGGAAGTTCATTGGATCTCTTTATGGACCGTCTGGAGAAGGAGGCTGAGGGCTCATGAGGGTCTCCAAGGACCCCTGCCCACTTTGACCGGACGAGTTCCACTGTTCTTTTGTTCATTCTTGACTCTTGCTGGTAAAATATTTTTTGGGTCGGGGTGGGGTTAAAAGGTTTGGGGATCCACCATCTCAGGATCTCCACAGGCCTCCTTCTCCAGAAGGTAAGCGAAAGACGGTTGTGCTGTTTCAGCAGATGACCTGTTGCAGTGTAATCTGAGAGGCTAAACCTAATGCTTTCTGTGCTGTGATCAGCAGTCAGCACGCTCGGCATAGCCTTAGGCTGCGAAGATCAGACACGTTTTAGCAAGACGGTGACTGACTCAGCTGTTAGGAGGATTTTAATTAACGGTTTAAATAAGTGGTTTTAAGTTGCTAGGCACTAAATTCTGCCTAGCTGTCAATAGGAAGACCATGTTCCCTAGTTTGTCTGAGATAGTCTCAGTTTATACCAGCCATCCTAAAGCAGTTACTAATGGGGCCTCTTTCACTCAAAAGTGCCCTAGTTTAGAAAAATGTGTGGTCACTCCGCTAACCAGGAGGCCAGTCTCTGTGGTAGTGTGGCCTGCTTCCTCCCCTTGTTATGTGAATTATCATTGTAAACACTTTTTCATTGAGTTCAGGCTCCTAGGTCTTAAGAATGTTGGTTGTGAACATTTCAGTGATTGTTTTATTATAGAAGGAAACACGAACCCAAAGCCCCAGCATGGGGGAAGCTACTGTCCCATCTTACTGTCTGGCCTTCCCAGTAAACCCCTGTGAGATTCTTCCTAGGTGAGGAAAGCAGGAGGAGACCTAGAATATGAAGTGGGTGCCTTTCAGCTGGGAGGCCAGGAAGAGGCATCCTCTTCACTGCAGGAGGGAGGGTTGGTGCGTCTGAGAAGTGAAGGCGGTCTGTGGGGCATATCGTTCTGGTCCCTCCTCTTTCCGTGATGCTTCTGGGAAGATGTGTCTGAAGCTGGCACTCGTTCTATGGAGGAGGGGATCCCTGTTTGTTTTTTAAATCTTGGCTTGAGTTGGGTGTGGCTGGCCCATTGAGTTTCTGGAGTATCCTGAAGTTATGTGCTTGCCGTTTATTCTGTTCTGCAGGGAAACTGAAGAGGGTGCTTCACTGCTGCCCTGAAGTGTTCACCGCGCGTCAGCAGGACATTGACAGCATCGTCAGAGTTCTCAAGGAGAAGTGCCTTTTCACGGGGAAGCAAGTGGCTGAGATTTTGCACAGGTGCCCCTGTGTTCTCCGGGAGGACCCTGCTGCGCTGGAGTACAAATTCCAGGTGAGGAGGACTGATGGAGGGTTAGAGTGGTCGCAGCACGTCTCCAGGCGTGGCCTGGGTCACCTGTGTGGGTGAGAAGGCTCGCACCCGTCAGGGCAGGTGGACAGTTGGGGTGAAGGGCTGAGCCCCTCTTTGCACCCACCAGCCAAAGAGAATTCGGCTCTGGTTCTTTCACTTTACTGCAGTTAGTACCTCTTCTGCCGCTTTTCTGCCGTTAGCAGCGAATGCCCCAGTCCCGTGCTAGAGTCCAAAAGAGGCCTGTTTGAAATGGCTAATTTTACAGCAGCTACACCTCCTACCTTCAGGCCTGTGTTGCGTGTTGGTCACCCAGGAACGTGACTGTGACACTGTCCGCCCTCATTCCTTGGACATAGTTATGAGGCTTAGGTCGAATCTCCAATGCTCTATAAACTTTTTGCCCGTTTCCCCATGCTCACTGTTTTCCTTTCCCTGTCTGAAGAGAAACAGAACTTCATTTCTCCTACCTGCCCCTTTATTTTCTGCCGCATTTTTCGCCATGTGAATAGAAAGCTTTGAAGCTGTCCGCCACCGTACAGACACGGTGTTGTGGAACGTTCCGCCGCTTTAACTAGGCCGTTCTTTCTGAGTGCTTTTGGGCAGTTCCCGTTTACTGTGGATTAGGAACCTAAAAAGGTTTCTGCACCTGAGCTTCCTAACCATGTCTGTGTCTCCAGTATGCCTATTTTAGGATGGGGGTTAAACATGCGGATGTGGTGAGGACCAATTTCCTGCAGTACTCCATCACCAAGACCAGGCAGAGGCACGTGTTTCTGGAGCGCCTGGGACGGTACCAGACCCCCGATAAGAAGGGGCAGACGCAGATCCCCAACCCTTTACTCAAGGACATTCTCAGAGTTTCGGAAGCTGAGTTTCTGGCCAGGACAGCCCATTCTTCTGCTGAGGAGTTTGAGGTTTTTAAGAAGCTCTTGGCTCGGGAGGAAGAAGAGGAGTCTGCAGGCCACATGACTGGTGATGAAAGTCTGGACCTGGACGAGGAGGAGGAGGAGGAGGACGAGGAGCGGGAGCTGTGATGGGAGGACTGGCCTGAAAAGAGCCCAGAGACATCAGAGTGTTTTAATTTTCTCAAAGTTTTCGGGAGCTTCACTTGAATCTTCTCGGGTTAGTTTTCATTCTAAAAGTGGTCTTTTGATGAGAAGTTATTGGAAATAACCTGAGAAGGAGACAGGCCAACTAAATAGCAGGTGCGTCAGTTTGACCTGCTGTCGGGTTTCTGTGGGGAGGCCCCTGTTCCATCTTGGGATAAAAGACTGACTTTGAGCTCTTAAAATCAAAGGGACTGAAAACTTCAACATTTGTTTTTTCCCTGTCACCTGTGTTGAGATGATTCTGAGACAGTGCGGGCGACAAGGGTTCTTCTGGTTCAAGCGTCAGTTTGTATTTCTAGTGATAGAGACAAAACTGTGAGGAGGCAGTGAGGGTTTCGTATATCACAGTACTTTATTTCATGAAAACAAGTAGCAAGTGTTCCACAAAAATACTCGCATTTTTACGTATCAGAAGTATCTTACTGCTTCATAACCGCATTCAGTGTACAGCAGAGTGAGGAGGTTGGTTAGTGACGTATGGTTCTGTTCTGTGCAGCTTAATACCAGCAGAGCGCTGGGGCCCCACTTAATCTTTGTGGAGAACAGGCTCCGACTGTGACCTCTGGGGAATTTGCTCTCGTTCCAGCTCATGCCTAGGGGTCACATCCCGGCCCGAAGCCTCTGGCAGCCAGGGAGGCTGACCTGGAGCGTGCCCGAGCAGGAAGGGGCCTGGAGCAGGCCTGCTGGGTGGTCTCCCCGCCCGCAGTACAGGTGCTGGGGCTTCTGAGACCGGAGGAGCAAGAGTGCTGGCACAGGGTCATGTGTGGGGTGGGGCCTGGAGCCAGGGCCACGACACCATGGGTGGCAGATGTCCCCTGCGGGAACCCAGTGGATCTGAGGAGCAGTTTGAAGAGTTGGGGTCAGGGAATGGAATTTGATGTAAGCCGGGGGTCATCTGAGGTAGAGGTCCAGCCCTGACGGCATGCGCTCTGGGAGAGGTGGGAGGCTGAGTGCATCCTAGAACATTCTGGGAATTCCCTCCTTATGGAGAACTGGCACAGGGTTGATGGTGCAGAAAACATTTTTGGTGATGTGCTCCAAACTCAGGTCTTTGCAGCATTTTAATGGTTACATGAGCCTCCCTGTCTTGGCCATGTTTTCCCTCAGGGACCACGTAAGAACCCCGTAGGGCAGCAGTTCTCACCTGCGGGTGATCTTGACCCCAGGGAACATCGAGCAGCGCTGTTAGCGCCAGAGCGTAGCTGGGGTCCAGTGGGTCGGGCCAGGGCTGCTGTTGCACGCCGGCAGTCAGGGCAGCCTGCCGCAGGGGTAGGCGGCCTGGAACCCGCTCTGAGGCCTGCTCCAGCCCAGGGCGCTGCACGGACCCGTGAGAACTGAGGATTTTAAAGGGGCTTATGTTTGTGGTATTTCTTCTATTGGAAAGCAAAGTAAGTAGCTGACTTCTAGGAGTTCCTTGCCCCTCAGTACCGATGCTGTTGGCAGTTTAGAGCTTGTTTGCTGCGGGGACTCCGTCCTGAGCTGTAGGCTGAGCCGTGGATGCTTTTGCTTCCTCCAGCTCACATTCGAGCATGGCTGCAAAGAGGAAGACGTTTTTCAGGAAGGTAGTGTGGTGAGTCCCTCCCCATGGGTGTCAGACGTCGGTGGCAGTAGTTCTCCAGCCGGAGGACTGCCCGCTGAGGAGAGCTGCTGGAGGCTGGCTGACACGGAGCCCTTGCCTGTTGGGGTGGCTGGTGGGTGAGCAGCAGGGTGCCTTGTGCTTTCCTCAGCTGCACCTGGGACAGCCCGCACGCAATGGGGAAAAGGGAGTTTTGTCTTCATTGTCTTTCTTAGTCACGGGCAGGATCGTTTGAAAGTGAAGACGTTTCAGTTTTCATTTACTCTTGAATTTTGTGGCGTCCAAGTGACCTGCAGTTTGCCTGGAACGTAGGATGTTATTCTTTTGCTCAGTCAGGACTAACAGAATCCTAAATATAGGCTCGATTGCATGGTCAGTTGATCCATGTTTCGTTAAGCACATGGCTAACTTGACAGCTCATGGTTGCCTCTTTAATTTTGACGCAGAAATGCATGTGCCCCTGACGGTTTTCTGATTCCGTCGCTGCTGATTTCTTTGGGTGGACTTTTGAGTGTTTCCAAAGAGGACAGTAGGGTTTTAAGAAGGAGCCACAGGAAAACAGCAGCGGCTCATTTGCAATGTTTCAAGGATGAATTGTATTCCTTCAGCATCAGGAAGTCTTTTTACTACACGTATAATTTATAAAACATCGTGATATGTCAGTCATAAGACGAGACAGCACCCAGCTCAGGATTCAGTAGACTGTTTTTCGGAGAAACAGAGGCTTCTAGGCTAGAAACTGGAACACGCCACGTTTGCCTCATGGCTGAGGGACTGAGGTTCCTCACGTGGCGGTGGAGTTTCATCCCCCCTTCCAGTGACATCACTCAACCTTGCCGTTTGCTCGTGGCGCTGCAGCTTGCATGGGCCATGGCGCCACTGCAGCTGTCAGCAGCACATGCTTCATGTGTGGCTTTCTGGGGTCTCCCGCTGCCGGAGCCCCTTGACTGAGCTCAGCCACCTTCTCCAGGTGGGCCTGGAGGCTGGGAGCCTTCTGGAGTACAGTAGAGACTTCTTGAAGTGACTTTTCTCCTTTCTGAAAATGACAAAATGTGTAATACACAGACATATGCACACAAAACTTTAATAAAAATAAAAAGCCTAAAATATAACTCTGCAAAAATTTTTTATAAACGGTGAAAGGAAGAAGCCCTTTCTGTGGCTGTGGTGCCGACTCGGGCAGAGTCAGCGGAGGACGCACGGCGTGTCCAGTTTGGCTCGGCGGTGAAGTGCTCCCCATGGTGCGAGGTGGGGGCTGGCCTCTTTGGTCTTACAGTCGTTTGCCGGGAGAAGCTGGTGCGGTTCAGAAGCGTGCTGGAGTGTGCGTGTGCCGAGGTGGCACGGAACTGGAGTGAGGGAAAGGCCGTGCTTACCGCCTGGTTCCTGAAGCAGTGTTGCCTCAATTGTAGCTAGAAGGACCCTCAGACAGTGTCCCATCTGGTCCGCCCCTGTTGTCCCTCCCTGTCGCACTTGGGCTCTGAGGGACGAGCCCTTGCTTCGCTCGGTAGAGGTGCTGCCTCGGCTTTCCGCGTGGGGTTTGTGTAGTGCTTCCATGAAACCCTTGAGGCCTTTGGTGCCTTGGTGTGACTTGTCATCCAGGGAGCGGCTTTCTCTGCATAAGGCCCGAGCCCGGTGGCCTCACAGACCAGGTGTTAGCCAAGTGTGGCCATTGGCCAACTTGGCTCTGCCTGCTTTTGTAAATAAAGTTTCATCGGAACACAGCCTGCTTGCTCAATCTCACATCTGTGCTACGATTGTAGAGTTGAGCAGTTGCCACAGTGACCACATGGTCCAGCAAGCCAAAAACGCTGTCTCACCTTCAGAGAAAAAGTTGCAGATGAGAAGTGTCTGAGTACCCTGCTAGTTTTCTGTGACGACGCCCTTGCCTGCAGACAGCCAGCATGCACACGCCCCAACGCCTGCCTTTCCTCCCAGTGCGGCCTCGCCTCTGCCCCTCCCTCACAGCCCCACGGCTCTGCTTTGAAAGCTGTGGACAGCAGTTCCTCCTTTAATTTGGTTTTAGGTTTCGAATGGAGAATGCTTTCTCTGAGTTTGGAATCTGAGAACTGGGTTCTGAATGTTGCCGAAGCGTTCCTGGTGGACGGCCCCGCTCGTCCATGGCAGACGTGGCCCGGGCCACCCCTTAGACTATGGCCTGGCTTAGATCACAGGTGTCGGTTCTGTCCCGGGGGTCTCCGGCTGTGGCTGGGCAGGGAGGTGGCTGGTGGATGCCTGGCCTGGCCGTCTGTCTTCCGGAGGCTGGAGGAGGGTGGCTGCTTGGGGGACTGACTCCAGCCAGGACGTTGTCTCTCAGGGTGTCCTTTTTGATCCAGTTTGGTTTGGGAAGCTGCTTGTTCCCAGGGTGCACCACTCTCCTCTCCTGCGCCACCGGGAAGATGGGCATCTAGCTCCTTTATGGACCTGGTGTGGTGACTGTCCTGGGCCAGCCAGAATTCCTTTCATTTCCAGTGACCTCACATTGGTAAGAAATTGTGTCGAGCTAGAGATGGGTCTCTGTGGTTTAGCCCAGATCTTCCAAACTGTTGTGAGGGCTTCCGCAGAGTGTGCTTGTGGGGAGGTGGGAGTCACGTGGGGTGGAATTGCCAAAAGAAGTTGGGAGAGGCTGGATTAAACAAGAACAGAGTTAGAAAGCTTCTTTCATCTCAGGATTTCTGAATGCTCAGGGTTCCCGAGTTCATTGGGGCCCTCCCAGTGAGAGTCCTAAGAACTTCCCTAAAGTTATGTGATCAAGACCCCACACCCCAGTTTTTCCTCCAACGAGCTGCCGTTTACAGGTCGGGGGTGCACTCCCATGAATCCCTGCACTCCTGGAATTCTCCGCCTTCTGGCATCCAGGCCCCTCCCATTGTTCCCCCTCAGCTCCCAGCTCCATCCAGGTGCCAGGTGGTCTTTGCCTCTCTAAGAGCCCCCCATGCCCTGAATTGCTGATCAGGAAGGGGTTTCCGTGCCCCAGTGAGAGTGGGATTGTCCTCAGCCCTAGACAGCTTCCTTTCCACCTGAAGACACGTGTGTGCCAAGTTCATGTCTGTTGGGAAGCCTTAAGTATGATTATTTTTTCACCCCTTTAACCCCTTTAACCCCTTCAGGGAAGTCTGAACCCTCTGCCCCCAGAGCTTGTGATGCGAGCTTCCCACAGCCCTCCCAAGGGCCAGCGCGGGGTGGGACGCCCTTCACGCTTGTGGCGTACCTTAAGATTTCTTCAGTGTAGGACTGTTACTTTGTTTCCTGAAAGAAGCAGAGAAACGTGGTTTACGAAGAAGAAACTGTATACTCGTCACCCAGCAGCTTCCTCACCCGGGCTGCCTGGTCCTGTCCTGCCTTTAGTTTGTGTGCGTCCTGTGTGGGGAGTGGCTGAGGCCTGACATGGAGGAGCGTTTTGTCCTTGCCCACCTGGCTGGGAGTGGTGCACAGAGGGAAGGAAGTCAGGGCTGCCTGGCGGGGAGCGGGGGACCCGCGCACTCTGGCCAGGAGCCGTGCGGGTGTTCCCTGAACTCAGGCCCCGGCCAGGCTTGCGTGGTGACCGATCGGTCTGGGAGGAGTGTGACTGAGGTTTGGGCTCAGCCATCCATACTCAGGCAGGACATTATATAATGGCTCTGTGACTGCTGTGAGCCCTTCCAAGAAAGAACCTGGGTGTGAGTGAATAAAAATAGAGGTTTACTGTATTTCCAGGTACGGACTTGGGCCTGTCAGTAACGCTCCTTGCTTCCCAAGGTACCAGACACTGTGTGTGCATAACCAGTGACCCCCGCACCCGCCCTGTGACCCGCCCAGCACCCGCCCTGTGACCCCCCCAGCACTCACCCTGTGACCCCCCCCGGCACTCACCCTGTGACCCCCCCCAGCACTCACCTGGTGAAACACCCCCGCAGCCGCCCTGCCCAGCTGTGCCCGTCTCCGCTCACATACACATACAGACAAGTAACCTGCCTCGGCCAAGGCCCGTGGCCTCCCACAGCCTCAGTCACCAGGGCCACCCTTGCCTGGTACCCTGTAAACTTCTTGCAGGCACAGCACGGCCCCCCCACCCCGAGATGCACCTGCTGGGGGCTGTCCTGGCGCTTGTGCTTTCACAGCTCTCTTTGAAGCAGATGTCTTGGTGCACTTTGTAGACCCTCCTGTACCTGCATCACAAGAAAGCGCTGTGAAGCCAGAACCTTCCCCAGCTGCCTCACCTAGGCTGCGTGAGCCCACAGGTCAACAAACAGACGCCTGAGGAAAGGCCATTATTTTCTTAATAGAACCTTGCCTCCTGTGGATGGTCTAACATGAAAGTCATGTAATTTTTTTAAACTAACTTTATTAAGGTATAATTTACATAAAATAAGATACACCGATTTTAAGTGTACATTATGAGTGTTGCAGAGTCACACGATACTAAGAGATAAAATGTGAGATTTCAGAGACACGGCTTGCTTGAGACGGGCTGCTTGGCATGGACGCCTTGAGAGGGCATGACCGCACCATTACGGCTGTTCATGGAGAAGACTGAGAAGACTCGGTGATGCAAGCATTGGGTGTGGGCAGGGGGAACAGTACGCCTGACTTCTAGCTGCCCCTGTGCGCCCCCCCCCCCGTATATGAGCACATCCTGGAGCTGAAGCCGCAGTTTCCTGTGAGGTGGGAGTCACTTGTACTGCCTCTGTCAAGTTTGCAGATAACAGTGAACGAGGCAGCATTTGACTCTTGTTACTGCTTCTGAAACGTTGGGCCTGTTCTTAAGGGAGGTCCGGGAGCTCAGCGGGCAAAGCTCCAGTTACGAGCTCAGCCCAGGAGAGGCTTTAGCACTTAGAGCCTTAGCTAAGACTTCAGTTCCAGCCATCAGGCAGCGAAAGGATCTGGAATTAACTTCCAAACGTGAACAACTGGAGAAATGGACAAAATATAGGAAGCAAGTCTTTTCAGATGTTAGAAAGCAGTGCAAGACTGTGGCCTGGAGAGAAGGGTGCCCTGTGATTGTCCGAGAATTCAGCCTGGAGTCGCCTTCTGGACTGCACTGTGGGCTGGGGAGAATCCGAGCAGTGCTCACACCAAGTTGATAAAACAGAGACTGGAGTTAGGGAGGCAGAGACAGCTGGGCCCTGTGGGCCAGAGCACTGACGAGGAGGGAGCTACACAGAGGAAGAGCCCCAGAACTGCAGGGGGGCCCCTCAAAAAGTAAGCTGGTGAATAAACCTGGGCAAAGAAGAACTACTGCAGAGCTGGACAGCTCCTAGAGCCAGAGTGGGGAGATCTTGATTAATCGTAGGCCATTCCACAGAAATAGACACCCCAGAGATGCTTTGCCTTAAAAGTAGGGCAGAGGGGGAAGGGTAGAGCTCAGTGGGAGGGTGCATGCTTAGCATGCACTAGGTCCTGGGTTCAGTCCCCAGCACCTCCATCAAAAATAAATAAATAAGCCTAATTGCCGCACCCCTGAAAAACAAAAAAATTAAGATGGACTCTGCTTCACTTACGAAAAGAAAGTGGGACAGAATTAACCCCAGAATAAAGGCTGTGCTAAAGCCGCCCTAAAGTAAGCCTCCGAAGGGCCCAGCTGTGCTGCCTTGCAGAGCAGCACAACAAGGCGAAGGAGCAGGACGGGTGCCCGCGCTCCCGCTTCTGTCCAGCGTTGGAAGGCGGTATTGGGAGTCTTCGCCACAGCAATCAGGCAAGGGAAAAAAGTATCCAGATTGGACAGGAAGGGGTGAAACTGTCACTGTTTGCAGATGACAAATACAGAGAACCGTGAAGTCTCCACAGAAGGACTATTAGAGCTAGTAAGTGAATTCAGCAAGTGGGGCAGGACACAAGATTAACATACAGAAATCTGTTGCATTCCTTTTTTGGGGGGGCTAATTAGGTTTACTTATTCATTTTTAATGGAGGTACTAGGATTAAACCCAGGACCCTGTGCGTGCTAAGCATGCGCTCTACCACTGAGCTATACCCTCCTGCCATTTGCATTTCTTTGCACTAATAATGAAATATCAGAAAGGGAAAATAAACAAAAAACCCCTCAAAATCGCATAACCCCCCCCCCAGGAATAAACTTAACCAAGAAGGTGAAATACCTATGTGCTGAAAACTATAGCACACTGGTAAGAGAAACTGAAGATGATTAAGAGAAATGGAAGGATGGCCCATGCTCTTGGATTGGGAGAATTAATATTACTAAAATGGCCATACTGCCCAAAGCAATCTTCAGATTTAGTGCAGTCCCTATCGAAATACCCGTGACATTTTCCACAGAACTAGAACAAATAGTCTTAACATTTATATGGAACCACAAAAGACCCAAAATTGCCAAAGCAATCCTGAGAAAAGAAAGAACAAAGCTGGAGGTATAACCCTTTCACACTTCAGACTGTACTGCAGAGCTGCAGTTGTCAAAACAGTGTGGTGCTGCCACACACAGACACGGATCAGTGGAGCAGAGCACACGGCCGAGAAGTAAACCCACACACCCACCATCAGTCTACAGCAGAGGAGGCAAGAATATACCGTGAAGAAAAGAGCCTCTTCAGCAAGCGGTGTTGGGGCAGCTGGACAGCTGTGTGTATGAAATCAGTGAAACTAGAACATTCCCTCGCAGCATGTACAGAAATAGACTCGAAGTGGATTGAAGTGGGAGAGGGTGGCGCTCAAACGGGAGAGCGCATGCTTAGCATGCACAAGGTCCTGGGTTCAATCTCTCTGGTACCTCCTCTAAAAATACATAAATAAACCTAATTACCTCCCACTGCCCCCCTACCCCCAAAAAACTTAAAAATAAGTTAAATTTAAAAAATGGATTAAACACCTGAATGTAAGGCATGAAACCACAAAACTCCTAGAAGAGAACATGGGTGAAACCTTCTTTGACATAAATTGTAGCAATATTTTCTTAGATCCAGTCTCCCAAGGCAAAAGAGATAAAAGCAAAAATGAACAAATTGGCCCTAATCAAACTTACACACTTTTGCACAACAAAGGAAACCATCAACAAAATGAAAAGGCAACCTGTGGAATGAGAAAATATACGTAAACAATGTGACCAACAAGGGATTAGTATCCAAAATATACAAACAGTTCATACAACTCAATATTGAGAAAATAAACAACCCAATCAAAAACTGGGCAGAAGACCTGAACAGGAATTCTTCCAAACAACAAGTACATGAAACAATGCTCAATATCGCTAATTATTAGAGAAATGCAAATCAAAACTACAGTGAGGTATCATGTCACACTGATCGAAATGGCCATCATCAAAAAGTCTGTAAATAGTAAATGCTGAAGGGAACTGCCCTGCACTGTTTGTGGGAATGTAAATGGATACAGCCAGGATGGAAAACAGTATAGAGGTTCCTTTAAAAAAAATTGAAAATTGAGTTACCATAAAATCCAGCAATCTCACTCCTGGGCGTATATTCAGAAAAAATGAAAACTCTAATTTGAAAAGACACCTGCACCCCAGTGCTCACAGCAGCACTATTTACAGTAGCCAAGACACTGGAAAGAACCCAAGTGCCAGTCAACAGAAGATGTGGGGGGTGGGGGGTGTGTGTGTGTGTGTATAATGAAATATTACTCAGCCAATAAAAAAGAATGAAATATTGCCATTTTGAGCAATGTAGATGGACCTAGAGAATATTATGCACAGTGAAATAAGTCAGACAGGAAAAGACAAATATGTAATATCACTTAGGAACCTAAAAACGAATACAAATGAATTTATATACAAAACAAACAGACTCAACAGACACAGGAAACAACTATGGTTACCAAAGAGGAGCAGGAGGATGAGGGGAACAGATTAGGAGTATAGGATTGACAGATACAGACTACAATACATAAAACAGGTAGGCAACAGGATTTACTGTATATTGCACAGGGAATTATAACCACCATCTTGTTTTAACCTGTAATAGAACATAATCTGCGGGAAAAAGAAAACAGCCAAACATCTGAGTCACTGTGCTGTACATCAGCTATATGCCTATAAAAAAATTAAAAAACAAAAAATAAATCAACATTCTTCAAGAATACCAAAAAAAAAAAGTTCAACAGTAACATAAAGTTCACAGTGTCCAACCATCCCAACAGAAGACTTACAAGATAATCACAAAGAATCAAGAAAATGTGACCCATAAACAGGAAAAAATATTGAATAGAAAAACACCCTGAAATGAGAGCAATGACTGAAATAGCAGATGAGGACCTTAAAACATCTATTAGAAATTTGCTCCACGTGTTCAGTGATGTAAAGGAAAAGATAATGAGAGAAATGGAGGCTCTAAGAAGGAACCAAATGGAACGGCTAAGATGACAAAACAGTATCTGGAGTGAACGTTTTGCTGCATGGGATTACTGGTAGGTTAGACACTGCAGAAGAAAAGTGGATCGGTGGACTTGAAGACACAGCAGTATAATCTGTCCAGAATGAAGTAACGAGAGAAAATGAAAACAAGAGAAAAGAGCCTCAGTGACAGTGGGACTGTGCCAGTCTAGCACATGCTGAAAAGGAGTCCCAGAAGGAGACGTGGAGGGCAGAAAAAGTGTTTGAAGAAGTAATGACTAGAATCTTCCAAATACATGAAAGCTAGAAACTCAGAGATACAAGAAGCTAAATTCCAGAGGGTAAAAACACACACATAAACCTACCGAAGCACATCATAACTAACTTTCCCAAAACCAGTAATAAAGAGGAGACATAAAAGCAGCCATGGGGATGGGAGCCACATTGCAAATGGTGGAGCAAGATCAAGAATGACGGCAGTCTTCCCATCTGAACCGCGCAGGCAGCAGCAGAGGAACGGCCTCTTCAAAGCGCCAAGAGAGAAGGCCAGAGTTACCAACTGGGAGTCGTGTTCAGCAAATACTCAGAGATGGAGGTGAAACGAAAACTCCGTAAGGCAAACGAGAGCAAAGAGGCTTCAGCACCAACAGCCCTGCGCTGTAAGAGACGTCACAGCGAGCTCTTTGGCAAAGGAGAATGACACCAGACGGAGTCTCAGATCTGCATGGGGGGATGAAAGTGCTGGAAATGGCAGACGTGCAAGGAAGCACAAAAGCCTTCATACTTTCAACATTTGAAAAAATAACTTGAGAGCGGAAGTGCCGTACTGGCTCAGCACATGTGGAAGCAGAACTTCTGGCCATGGTAGTTCAGGGAGTGAGAGGAGAGGTGGAGGCTTGCTGTTGTCTGAGTCTTCCATTACACTGGGGGTGTTTGTAATTAAAGGTATATTGTGATCAACTGAAGATGCATATTTTAAATCCCAGTGCAACCTCTGGAAAAATAATCCAAAGAAGTATATCAGTGAGCCAACAGTGTAGGTGAAGTAGAGTCCTAAAAAATAATCCAAAAGTGGGCAGGAAAGGAGAAAATAATAAAGATAAAATGGGACAGAAAACAGAAAACAATATGGCAGATTTAAACCCAGGCACATCAGTCATTTCAGTGACATGTAAATGGTCTAAACACTCCAGTAAAAACCAGAGATACACATAGCAAGGCCGCATGGATGCCAAATACAAGTAAGTCACTTTAAGATGCAACAGGCTGAGGGAGGAGGGAAGCCACTCAGTGGGAGAGCACGTGCTTAGCACACACGGGGTCCTGGGTTCCATCCCCAGTGCCTCCGTCTTAAAAAAAAAAAAAGCAACAGGTTGAAGACACGAGGGCTGAAAGTTGGCGAGTGCAGGGCTGTCCTAGCTGGTGCTTGGGGGTCGCCTGAGGCACCGGTGGGACGCACCGTTGGAAGGCTTCAGACTGCCACGGCACAGAGCCCTAACCCAGAGGCCCAGTGCCGCTCGGCCTCCCCGCTGTGTCCCTGCCGCGTGTCGAGCGGCTTCACGTCCAGGCCCACGGCAGGTCTCGTGCCTCGCCTTCCTACAGTCTGTCCTCAGCGATCTTAAGACACGCCAGATGCCACTGTCCTTCAGCAGCTCCCCACTTCACAGGAGACAAATACAGAGTCCTTCCCAGGGTCTCTGAGGCCCTGCTGGGAGCCCCCAGCCCACCCGCCACTCCCCCTTGCTCACACAGCTCCAGCCCTGCTGGCCCTGCTGCTGCTTAGACGTGCAGGCGCGCTGCTGATTCGGGGCCTTGGCAGCTGACATTCTGACTGGAACCCCCAGCTGCCCTCACCTCCTCCGTGTCTGTTCACGTCACCTTTTCTGTGACGCTTACCCTGACACCGTGCTGAATGCTGCGGCTGCCCCCTCCCTGTCCCCCAATCCTGGCTGTCCCGGCCCCAGCGTGTGCGTTTCTTCCATCTTCCTTTAGCACTTACCACCTTCTAAAACACTGCAGAGCGTGCTCCTGCCTCTGAGTACTGTCCCCCTCAGCTAGGACGCAAGTACTCCCAGGGCGAGCCTTCGGGCCATTTGTTGACTGACTTGTGCTGAGCGTCTACAACAATGCCTGGCACGTGGCAGGTGCTCGTCTGCCTTCGTGGACTAAATAGGCTGTGAGTAGGACCCACAGAGCCACGGAGCATCAGCAGGAAAGGTCCCAGGAGGTGGGCTCAGCACACCCTCTGCCCACAGCCGTTGTCCACATGGGGAGGCTGAGGCGCGAGTGGTTTGCCCAGGACCACGTCAAGAATAGACTGCGGAGCTGAGACCCAAGTGGCCCTGTGCTGAGAGCAGGAATGGCCCTTCCTGGAATCCAGGGAAGGGAGGCTGCTGTGGCTCTGGGGTGTGGGAAGGGCAGGCCCCAGGCTGGGAGCTGGCGATCCGGCTTCTAAGCCTCGTCTGGCTCTGCTCCCAGCTGCACAGACTCGCAAGTTTTTCAGCCTTTCTGCCTCAGTTTCCTGATTTGTTTCATGGAAGGAATGGGTGATCGAAGCAAGTCCCTTCTGGGCCTCAGGGGTCTGTGTGGATGGGGTGAGCAGGACTTCGTGCACGCCCTGCGGGGAGGTGGGGAACACGCTGCCGACGTGATGAAGGCAGAGGAAAAGGACTTACACGTGGTGACAGACGCCTCCTTCCCAGACTGGAAAGGACTTTGTCTCCGAGAACAGCCGCGTGCAGGGCTGGGGCACCTTTCTGCAGGCTGCCGGCACAAAGGAAGAGGACCGCCGCTGACAAGGGGCTTGGTGCCCTGGCAGCCCTCTTGCTGTGCCCGTGGGGGGCCTGGCTGCTTCCCGGGCTGCGGGCCTTGTCTTCAGGGGCGCTCAGCGGCTCTGGAGGCCGCCCCGAGTCAGGGTCCTTGGGGCCTGCCCGCTGTCATCTCTGGGCCAGAAGGGCCTCAAGGTTGTATGGCTGGCGTGGGAGCTTCTGTCCACCCACGTCCCGTCCTCAGTCAGAAGTCTTAGGGAGGCCCAAGGCCCTTTTCCCTCCCACCACCTTGTCTGGTTCCCGAGCCAGAAGTACCCACTGCCCACTGATCCTACCTCTCACCGTGGAGTGGCTGTCACTCTGTCTCTGTGACTGTCCCCAGGCCCCCCAGTTACTTGGGTGGCACCTTTCTCCCTGGCTCTTGGGGGCAGTGGGAGGCCCAGTGGCTCACTGCCTGCTGGCCTCCCTGCCTGGGCACTTGGCAGTCTGGGGCACTGAGGCCAGGCCCCTGTCCTGGAACCTTGTGGTCTGAGGTCTTGGTGGCAAACCCACTCTGGGCCCAGCAGTCCCATCCTAGCCTGCTGGAGGCCAGGTCCTGGACTGGGTGGCCCCTGGCAGGCGAGGGGAGCGGTCTCTGACTTACCGAGCTCGCAGCGCCTGCCTTTGAAGCCTGGGCTGCAGTCACAGCTGTGGGCATCCACGCCGGGCACACAGGTGCCTCCATTCTGACAGGGGTTTTCTGAGCAGTTCCCAGGGGCGTCTGTGAACAGGTGGTGAGTGGTTAGTCACGGGTGCCGGCAGAAGGCCTGACGGCATTGCTGTGCCGCCGCCTCCTGCCGTCCCCAGTGCCAGCCCTGTGGATGGCCCCATTTCAGGTGGTCAGAGATGGCAGAGGTGAGACGGCTGGCCTCAGCATGCCCGCCCTGACCCCATCACCCTGAAGGAGGGAGGGAGGGCAGGCGGAGAGTCCGCCGGGACCCTGGGTGCTGAGCCGCCACACAGTAGAGGAGCTCACAGCTTCAGTTATATTTGCACGCTGATCGCCTTCAGGAGACATCCCCAGCTCCAGCATTGCCTGTGCCCCACCCCACATTTCTGCTGATTTTGCCCCCTTCCCCCCACTGCACAGGGTTTCTTCTACTTGGAACGCAGAGGTCAACGCTCGAGAGCCCTCCTCATCCTCCAGTGCCTGTCCCCAAGCCACCTGTGTCTCCCTAAGTCCCAGCCCCAGGCAGTCCCCCCCGCCCCCACAACCGAGTCCAGCAGCTGTCTGTGCAGGCTCTGTGCCCTTGTCTCCCGATGGGGTCCTCACTGCACTGCGGGCAGCTAGGGCAGGTTGGTCAGTGGCGCTGCCAGGAAGGGCAGGCCTGCCTTTCCCCTTTATAGAGTAACCCCCCTTCTTTTTTTGGTAAGATAGCTGTTGTTTTCATTTTTAACTCTAAAAATCCGAGAAACACAAAAGAGTAAGAATTGTGCACACCTCATCATGTCCAGTACCAGCAGGCCAGTCTCCCTGCACATCTAACCCAACCTCTTCCTTACCTCCTCGGCCACCTCCTGTGGGCGGCTGACCCGGCACACCCCAACCTCCCCCTTGTTTCCCCTCCCAGCGTCTCGGGCTCTTCATTGGCTGCTTTCCCCTTCCTCAGTGTATCTGCTTCACTCTTCTTCCTTCTCTGTCCTCTAGCTGTCTTTTTGTCCTTCCCCAGGGGCCAAAAGGGGTTATGGGCTTTAAAGAATCTTTTATTATGAAAAATCTCAAACTTACAAAATTCGGGGTGTGAAGAGCCCTATATACCATCACTCAGCTTCAGTGACTGACATTTTGCCAGTCTTGTTTAGTCTATTTCCATCTTTTCATCTGCCTTCTTTAGCTGAAGAATTTCAAAGCAGTCCACAGACACCTTGTCACCTGTAAAGATGTCAGCAGGTGTCTAATACGTAAAGACTTGTTAAGCATTCTTTGCATAAGCACAATGCTGTTACTACAAAATTAGCTGTAGTTCCTTCATAGCACAAGAAATCAGTCTGTGTTCAGAATTCCCTGATCATTTAAAAAATGTCATTTACACTTGGTCTCTAATTCAGATTCATAGAGATTCACATTGCCTTAGCTTGGTGTATCTCAAGTCTCTTTTAATCTGTGAATGTAATCTTCTTCGCCTCTGTATTCATTGAAGAAATGAGGTCACTTGTCCTGTAGAGTTCCCATCCTTCTGGACCTGACTTAAACGGCTTTCTGGTGGCATTAACTTGTTCCCCCTCTCCATGTTTCCTGCAAACCGGTCCTTAGAGAGAGGGGCTTAATGGGGTTCAGGCTCACAGGGTCTTTGCTTTGCTTTGGCTGCTTCACAGGTGGTGATTGTGGACCCTCTGGCTACACCAGGAGACGTGATGTCTCCACGTTTGGTTTTCATCACGTGAGGACTGATCACTGGTTCAGTGTGGGGAGCCTGACTAACCCAGAATCAAGTTCTCTTAGTCTCTGCACCTGGTGCTTTGAGCGGTCATGTAGGTCCCTAATCTAGGTTGTAGATCCATCATCTCACTGGGGGTCACGTCTAACTCGATCTGTCACCCCTCTGCCTTCACTAGCTGGGACGTCTCCTCTGAAGACCCACTTCCTTCGCCACCACTTGGTCACCCTGAAGTGCAGCCATACAGACAAGGGCGGATCCATGCTCCATTCCTTCCACTCTGGTCCTCCAGCGGGCTCTAGAGCCGACCGCTACGTTGTTCTTTCTTTTTGAGCATCATCGTGAGCTCTCGGGCTTTTGTGTGTTTGATGGGCTTCAGCCTGCGCTTGATGCTCAAATTATCCCACCCTGGGCCAGCAGCAGCCCTTTCAGGTTGGCTCCTGTGCCCTTTAGACACAATCCTAGTTGTTTTTAAAAACTTGTTTGCTTTTTTACAAGTATGTCTTGGACTTGTTTTGTCCATATTCTGCTTCAGTCTTGGAATCAGCCATTTCCCCAAAGACCCCTGTTCCCCTTTAGTGAAATGGTATGTGAAGCTCACAGTCTGGGTGATCGAGGTGCACACCGTTACTGTGGTGTCAGTGCTCTGGTCCTGTTCAGGAGACAGAACTAGGAAATTCAGTTTAAAAAATAAAAATAAACAAATTATGAGTTCACACCAGTATTTCCAGTTCAAACGAACTGAGTTAAATTAAAAGAGAAACACAGAGGTTTGACTTAACTTGTTTGATTTTATATTGTGTCTCTCTTTATGCCAAAAATCTTCGTAGCATTAATGTAATTATTTTCTTTATCCCACAATGTACAGGTAACAGTTTAGAAATAATGGCACCGGCATTGCCAGCACTAGGACACCAGATGCAGCTGAATTTTCCTTGGCAGTCCTTTTTCTCCTTAGGGTTTTCCCACCAGATCTGAACAGTCGGGATGCGGTTTTTAAAATCACTTGGAATGATGCTTTTTTCCCCAATGTGGTTATGCCGTCAATATGGGCAGATAAGTTTATTTCAGTTTGTTTTCAAGCTTTAGACACTTTTTTTTTTGGTGTTATTTACAAAACATTTTCTTTTTTCTGAAGTCACAACTCTAAAGGTACATTCAGAGAATCCTGGCATATTTCCCCATCCCCTTTACTTCCTCATTCTCGTTCTTTCCTTCCTTGAAGAATTAACCATTTTTTACTGGTTTTCTTTCTTTTTAAATATAAGAAAATAGGTATATACAGTCCCATTTCCCTTCCCCACTTCCCTACACGAGAGATACTGAAAACGTGGTTCTGAACATTGTTATTTGAACGTGCTTTATTGAGACAGACTTCATGTGCCACACAATTCATCCATTTAAAGTGCACAATTTATAGATTTTTAGCATATCCACAGGTCTGTGCATCCATCACCAGAGTCAACTTTAGAACATTTCTGTCACCTCAGAAAGAAACCCCGTACCTTCCAGCTGTCACTCCTGTACCTCCACCCCCACTGACGTACTTCCTGTCACGATAGGGTTTCCTGTTCTGGACTTTCATATGAATGGGATCACATCATATGTGGTCTTTTGTGACTGGCTTCTTTCACTCAGCATCAAGGTTCAACTGTGTTGTAGCATTTATCAGTACTTTATTCCTTTTTATGGTCAAATAACATTCCACTGTGTGAGTGAACCACGTGTGTTTATCCATGCGTCCGCTGGTGGACATCTGGGCTGCTTCCACCTTTCAGCAGCCGTGAGTGGTGCTGCAGTGACCGTCTGTGTAAGTTCTGGTGTGGACATGTGTGTTCAGATCTCCTGAGTGTATGCCTGGGAGTGGGATTGCTGGGTCAGATGTGATCCTGTGTTTAATTCTTTGAGGAACTGACAGACTGGTTTTCCCGCAAAGCACCTATACCACTGTGCGTCACCACCGGCAGAGTTTAAGGGTTCCCGTTCTTCCACATCCTCACCAAAGCTCGTTGTTCCCTGACTTTGTAATTCTAGCCGTCCTGGTGGGTGTGAAGGCGCATCTCACTGTGGTTTTGAGTAGCATTTCCCTGACGCCTAGTGACACCAACATCTTCTCGTGGGCTTGTTGGCCGTTTGTGTATCTTCCGTGGAGAAATGTCTATTCAGATCCTTTGCTCAATTCTTAATTGGGTTATTTGTCTTCTGATTCAGTTGTAAGAGTTCTTCATATATGTTAGAAATCCTTCATATATTTTCAAATCCTGTTTCAAATAATATGATTTGCAGATGTTTTCTCCCACTCTGTGCATTGTCTTTTCACTTCCTTGATGGTGTCTTTTGAAGCACGAAAAGCCCTAAATTTTGATGAAGTCCAGTTTATCTTTTTTTTCTTTTGTTGCTCATGCTTTTGGTGTCATATCTAAAACTCCTTTGTCAAATCCAAGGTAATGCAGCTTTACCCATGTTTTATTCCAAGAATTTTATAGTTTTAGCTCTTACATGGAGGTCTTTGATCCGTTTTTGGGCATTTTTGTGTGTGGTGTGAGGTAGGGGTCCGACCTCATTCTTTGGCGTGTGGACCAGTTGTCCCGGCGCCGTTTGTTGGAAAGGCTGTTCTTTCCTCCACTGCGTGGTCTCGGTTCCTTGTTGAGATCAGTTGGCCACAGACGCGTCGGTTTGTTTCTGGACTCTGAGTTCTAGTCCATTGATTTGTAAGTGCACCCTTGTGCCAGTGTCACACTGACTTCATTACTATTGCTTTGCAGCAAGTTTTGACAATGGGATGTGTGAGTCTTGCTGCTTTTTTAGGATTGTTTTTGCTATTCTGGGTCCCTTCCAATTCCGTATGAATTTTAGACGCTGTACATAACAATTGTCCAAAGACACTGTGCAGCAACCTTGCTTAAGGTGGAAGTGTGCAGCGGTGTTTAGAATCCGGGTGCCCATGTCAGCAACCCGTACCCTGTAGACGTGGACACCAGGCTGCAGAGACTGTGACTGAGGTTTGCGCCAGGCTTGGGTAGCTGGGATCCGAAGCCTGTAGTGATAGGCAGCAGTGGGGGGCTTCACCAGAGCTCTGCTGTCTGTAGCCTTGTTTTACAAAGTCGTCTCCACTAAATCCTGAGTTTATCATCACATACGTGTGTGCACACACACACGTTAAGATAAGTAAAAACAAAGAGAAGGCTGTTATGAACAGAGGCGAGGGCAGGGATGGGGCTGTGCCCTGGAGTGGGGACAGTGGGCCGCTCCTACATGAAGGATAAATCACACATATAGAGTTTGGGTTCTGCCCCAGACCGCTTGTGTAAGTGTCCAGCGGCATGAAACCAGGATAGTCCACAAGCCCTCCTTGGGGTGAGAAGTTGGGGAAACAGGAAGAACTTGACTAGCCTCAGTGTTCACTCCAAGCTCCCAGGGTGGCAGGTTACAAGCTTGGGAATCGTCCACAAGCGTCTCCTGGGGACATGAAGGTGCAGCCCTGATCTGGAGAGCTGCTTGGTGAGGCAGTGACAAATCAGGCGTGTTAACTGTGCTCTTGGGGTGCCTGGGGCTCTCTGGGGATCATTCTTTCCCTTGGGAAAGAAAAGTCTAACAGCTTCCAGAGAGAAGGAGCAGATTATTCTACAAGGAGAGAAGCACAAGACTGACACCCAGTGGCAGCAGTCCTGGGCAGACGATGGCAGTGCACAAGTGTCTGAGGAACTGAAGGGCAGAGGGGCCTTGAACCTTGAATGTTGTGTCCAGCCAAACTGTCCTTCAGACGTGAGAGCTCATCAGCATATTTTCAGGCAGGCACACAGGGCCTCAGAGGTTTGGCCATGTAGAGTTCCAACAGGTGCTTTGTGGAACTTGGTGAGCTGATTATAAACTTTTCTAGGAATACAAAGAGCCAAGGATGGCCCAAGCACTGACGGTCAGAGTGAGAGCGGTGGCCCTGCGGGACAGCGAGCCTTACTCAAAGAGACAGTCACCAAGGTGGTGGTCTTGGCTCGAGGAAGCCGAGCAGTGGACAGAGGAGTGAGGCAGAACCTTTGCTGATGCCAAGGAAGAGACGTGACCTGTCAGCACTTGAGAGACGCCAACCAGACCCCACAGGCGCCCTCACACCCAGGGTGCTGGCAGGACCCAGAGACCTGGCGAGACAGGGATGAGCTAACTGCCTCTCTTGACCACTGCTGGGAGGAGTGTAAACGGATCTGCCCGCTGGGAAGGCAGCGTGGTGTCTCCTCTCGTCGCTGGGCGAGCGTTCCCCAGCCCAGCCCCTCTACTCCTGCACACGTGCCGGAGCTGCTGCAGGACCATCACGGCAGCACCACTGGTGACAGCCAGACACGACCCTCGTGCCCTCCGAGCAGAGGGCTGTTGAGCCGCAGCCCCAGGACAGCACAGGACGCTGGGCGGACACGCAGGTCCAGACGCTGCACACGGCAGGACGCTCGCCGTGTAAGGAGAACCCACGACTGTCCGGGCACACCTGCGCGTCACTCCTCCCTCCAGCCTGCCTTCCCCCAGGGCTTCTGCTCGGGTCCTGTTCACGGGCGGGTGCCATGGTTCCAGCAAAAGCTAACTAAGTCAAGGGGCCAGCGCGGGCCAGCAGCGTGGCAGGAACAACGACCATGGGTAGTTTGGTGCACTGGGGGCTGTAGAAGCTTTTTTTGGTCCTATTATCACCTAAAACCACCTCCCACTCTCCCCAGGCCTGAGTCCCTCAGTGAGCAAACACCAGATGGCAGTGACATCTGGGGCCAGCCTGGTGCCACCTCGAATCTCTCCTTCACAGGGCACCCGAGAGAGGTCATTCACGTCCCTCTAGTTTCTGAGTTTTGTGAAGCGGAACATCTAATGTGTAAAAGGGCTGACATAACACAAACGATCTGACGAAATGTTTCTTTTTTCAGTTACGAACGCCAGCCATGCGGGTGTCTTCACTCTGACCGCACCTTAACTAACGGCCTTGCTCTCTGACTGTCTGACCCGCACACTGGCCTTGCTGGTGCTCCCCCAGGCTTCTGGCAACGTCAGGCCTCGCACAGTGAGGGGTGCTGAACTGGGAGGCCAGGGAGCCAAGCTGGCAAAGGCACCCTGCGGTGCTGTGCCTGGATGTGTACAGGCGTCCTCGGGGAACCTGGGATGGGGCCTGCAGGTGAGGCCAAGTCCTGGGTGCTTGACTCACACTTTACCGAGCACTCTGCCTTCTTTGGGGTCTGGCCGATGGGTGAGCCCAGTCTGAGCCTGTGGTGACTCAGGGGAAAGGGCCACTGGGTCCTAGAACTGCCCCCAGAGGGACATGGTGCCGAAGGTGGAACAGGAGGAAAGGTAGAGCTAGGGTCTGAGTTTGTGGAAGGAATGCGTGCCTGCTGACGCTGTCCAGTGGGGAGGTGTCCTGGGAGCATGTCTTGTGGGGACGTGCCAGCTGTGGTTCTCAGCCGGTGGACAGTCCAGGCCCCACATCACCTGAATGTCAGCAGGGGCCCAGCTGGCCCTACTCTCTGAGCCTGCGTAGCAGCCTGCTAGGTGCCCCTCTGGGGATTCCCGCCATCCTGCTCAGCATACTACTCTGGGGGAGGCCCTGCTGCACGCAGAGGGCGGGTGGGGAGGGGCCGCCTGCAGGTGCGGTGGGCCAGCCTCTCCAGGGTGGATCCTGGATGTTTGGCGGTTGCTGCCCCCAGGCCCGTTCCCCAGCTGCCTGCCTGGTGTGGGTCACTCTGCCCCTCCCAGGGTGAGGCGCTCGCGGCCCCTCGGGCAGGCTCTGTGCCTCCTGCTCCCTCACTGCGGGCAGCACCCTCACTGCACCTAGGTGCTTAAGGCCCCTGAGGGCAGTCAGCCCTGAGCGTCCACTCCTGCCGACCTACCTTCCGTGTCCTTGTCGCCACTGCGTTCAGGGAGCTGCAGGGCCAGGCTGACCTGTGTGGGGACCTCCTCCGTGCTCTTAGGCTGCACCAGAGCCGTAGGTTCTAGGAGAAATCGGGACGCCACAGTGCACTGACCACGAAGCCAGCTGCCTCGCACCAGGACTGGCCTTGGGCCGTCTTCTTAGCTTCCCTCCCTCAGAGTACAGGGCCTGGGTGGTGGGATCAGGGTGGGTCCTGGCTCCACCTTGGGTAGGACCAAGTTTTCTCCCTGCAGAGTCCAGCCCTTCCCCTCCGCCACAGCTGCTGGGTGAAGTTCACCGGGGGCCCAGGCGGGCCTCATCCTGAGCAGCCGGCTGATGCGTAGGCCTCCTCTGTGGTCAAACCCTGCTCTTTCCCTCCATCCCCTGGGGCTATGACACCCCCCTCCCCCTCCTGTCTGCCATGGCAAAGCCTCTGTGTCTCGGACCTGCTCCTAACAGGTTTATTTTTCATCTTCTCTCACGTGCCTGTTGGCAGCCTGTCCCTTCAGCTCCAGCAGCTGTAGCGGGGAGGCTCCTTGAGAGCCTGTGGATGGCATGGCTCTCTGTGCTGGCCCTGCAGCCCTGGGCCTCTAACCCCCTTGGGTCCCCAGCTGGGGGCAGTGTTGGGCACTGGGGGTGGTCTTGAAGCCCAGGTTTTAGGGGCCTCATCCCTCGTCATGCTGGGGACAGGCGGGTGAGGTGGCAGTGGGCTGCTGGGGTTGGGCTGGGCACTCACTTGATCTCACAGTGGCTAGTCCACCAGGCGACTGGCCGAACTTGGCCCTCACTCGTCCTCTGCCGTCCACAAGCTCCGAGAACCTGCAAGAGGGTCACCATGGTCACCCACCGCCAGGGCGCCCTGCTGGGGTCTCGTGGGGCTGCCGGCTGATGTGTGTACCTGGGGGCTGGGGACGGCGTTTCAGGGGCACCGGGGTCGTTGAGCAGGCGCAGCTCCGGCAGGCGCCCAGGGGGCGGTCGGTTTCTGAGCACCCGGGGGTGGAGTCCTTCCCGGAGCCAGCGTCGGTCAGCACCCTCCCTCGGGGCTGTGGGCGGGTGGAAGGGACAGTGGCCACTCAAGGCTGGCCTGGGGCTTCCCGTTGCCCTGGTCCCGCCCCGCTGCTCAGAGACGAGAACTTAAGGGGCTGTGCCCATCCCCTCCAGCCCTGCTCCCCACCCGCCTGCCTGCCTTCCCTCCCACCCACCACATCCTGCTGTGACCTGGTTGTTGCCTGGGAGTTGTCCAGGCACTGGTCTCAGCCCTCCTCCCTGGTTCGGTTCTCTGCCTGCAGGTGGGGTCAGGCACTTGGACCAGACTCACCTCAGCTGAGGCCCGCCCCAGGAGAGAGGGTATGGCTTCTTTGTGGATCCTTTCATCTAACCATGCCCTTCAGCCCCCTGGGCCAGGCATACCCTCTTCCACCTGCGAGCCCCTCTCCCCATGGCTGGCTCACAGGCCCCAGCCTGCCCTGTCAGCCTGGCAGTTGTGCCTGGAGCTGAGCTGGGTCTGAATCTCAGAGCCAGTGTGCTTCGGGTCCCGAGGGTGGGCTGGTGGGTTGGGAGAGAAAGAAGCCCCTGCTCTCTGACCTCCATTCTGCTTGGACTGCTGTCCACCTCCCTGCAGCACCCATCCAGACAGACCGTCTTCTGGAGAGCTTGGAAGTGTCAGCAGGGGTCATGCAGGACCCCAGAGTACCCGGGGAGCCTCCCTCGCACTTGGGATCAGACCCACGTTGTCACTGTGGCCGTCTGAGCCTCTGCGCTCCTGAGCTGCTCCTGTCTGCGGGCCCTGCCACTGCCCGCTCTTGGCACCTGTTCTGGGTGACGCCCTGTGTCTGCTGCCCAGCTCGCCTGGGGCCCATGTGGGGGGACAGCACCCAATGCTTATTTTTACAAACTGCCAGCTCACTGCCCCAGAGCCGACTGTCCGTGAAAACCCACCACCGCTTTCCACACGTGCAGTCCTCCCACGTTAACACAGCCCTGTTTATAGGCTGTCTGTGTTCCTGGGTCAGTGTGGCCTGTGCCAGGTGAGGTCCCGGGGACAGCAGATGAGCTGTCCCCAGGACTCAGCACGGCACTCACAGGTGATGATGTAGAGGTGTGCGGGCTCGCTGTGCAGCTGGGCACCTCCTGTGCTCTGCACCGCCGTCACCGAGAGCTGATACCGCCGTCCTGGTGTCAGGTCCCGCACCGTGTAGGACACCAGCCTCCCATTGGGGACGTAGCGGCTCTTGGTGCTCTGGCTGGCGGTCACATTGATGACGTACGCCTCCAGTGGGGCGCCGGGGGTGGGGACATCCCAGACCACGTGGGCAGAGGTGGCCGTGACTCGGGTGGCAGTCAGGTTGGCTGGCGGCTGAGGCCCTGGACAAGGCATGGAGCCGGTGAGGGGAGAAGGGGGCTGACAGGGTCTTCCGCCCCGGACGCAGGTTAAAGACCTGACGTGCAGTGGCTGAAGCCTCACTGGAAGCCGGGCTGAGTTGTAGCAAACAAGTCCACAGTCCTCAGGGATGGTGTGGATGCGCAGTTGCAGTGCTCAGGCTTCCTCCTTCCCCGAGAGGCACCCCCCGAATCCACCTGCTGGCGCCTGGTGAGGCCCTTGCAGGCTCAGCCCATCGGCGCCTGCTCCCGTGTGACGCTGTCCATCCCCTGAGCCTGGCCACACACACCGTCTCCTGGGAGGTGCGTAAGGGGCAGGGCAGGGGCCGGGGGCCCAGCACCCAGGTTCAGAGCAAGGGCTTGAGCCTGCGCTGACCGCCTGCATCACCAGGTAAGGCCCTGCGCACACCTGCCCTCCTTACCCAGCCTCCTGCCCAACCTCCACCCTGGTCACTGCCCCTCTGTGCCTGGATAGCCCACATGTTGGGGAGGGGGCGGTGTGGGCTGGGCTGCCTCCCCTGGAGCGGCATGGAGCCCACGGGGGAGGCAGCGTGGGCGTCCTTGCCGGCCCGCCTCTCCCACCCCTGCTCAGTGACCCTTTCTGGTAGGAGCCCAGGAGCCTACAGGTGTGAAGGCTCACACAGGAGGGCCCACGCAGCCCTTGCCGGCACCTCTTAGCACTCTGCCGTTCAGGGCACCCTTGGCCGGGGCGGGGTTTCTGGTTCTGCGGCCACTTTGGAGGGGACTGAGGGGGCTGGAGGGAGGCGAGAGCTTCCAGAGGGCCCACGTGAGCTGAGCTCCACTTACGGGTCCACACGTGCAGTGGTGCCGAGGCCAGGCTCTCGGTGGGAGGCTCCTGTCCCCTGAGCCCACTGAGGGCGGTCACCCGGATGGTGTATCTCCTTCCTGGCAGCAGGGCCCTATGGGAGGGGAGGCCGGGGAGAGAGGAACAGGACGGCCTGCTACCAGGCTGCGCTCCTCCACGCAGCTGACACTGGGGTGCAGTGGCCCCATGGCCGGTGGCCCCGGCAGCCTCCACTAAGGCCAGGTCTGTGGCCCGAGACCTGGGGGCTCCTCAGGTGGGAAGCTCCTCCCTGGTATGTCTGTCTGTCCAGCGCTGTGAGAGGCTGGGGAGGACACGGGCCTTTTCCCTTTTGGAGAGTCTGCATGACTCAGATTGGAGAACTCTGGGCTGGCTGTGTGCACGGTCCCTGCTTTTGTCAGGCAGCCCCGTGAGGAGGCAAGGCAGGAGCAAAGCCTGGAACTGCTGAGCAGGAGCACCACTCATGGGCGGGCCGGGCCAGGGAGCCGCAGGGTGGGGCGAGAGGGGCCCGAGGACGCCCGGAGCCCGCGCTCTTACCCGAAGGTGAACTTGTCCACGCTCTTGTCCACGTCTGTGGACTGGTCCTCCTGGGCCTCGGGGTGGCGGATGGACACACGGACGCCACTGACTGTGGCATGACGGATCCTGTGCAGAGCCCACCGCACCGAGATGGTGCTGGCTGTCACGTTGGTGACCTCAAGTCCCTCGACAGGGCGGGGTCCTGGAGACAATGAGTGCGCAGCATGTGTGACACCTCCTCACCCCTAGGGGAGGGCAGGGGCCGAGACGAGAGGCAGCTCGGGAAGGTGCTGGGGGGTCACAGAGAAGTGTACTAGTGATGCGCTGGCCAGCCTGGGCTGCCTGAATGCGTCCATCAGCCAGCTGGGGACCCGGGGCGGGTGGACATGTCCCAGGCCCCTGTCCTGGGGGTGCTGCTCTGGGCGGGTCCCAGCCCGTTCAGACTGCCAGTGGAGGCAGGGGCGCCCTTTCTTTACTCTGGCTGGCTGTGTGGGTGGCACGGACAGTGACTGTTCCGTCTGGGCGACCCTGGGGCCTGACGGGAGAGAGTCCTGGGCGACCTTGGAAGGGGTGGGGCCCCAGACCAAGGGAGCTTGGAGGGGAGCCCGCAGCTCCTGGGGGTGCCCTGCCCCAGTCCTGTGCGCCCTCCCCCACCCTGGTCTCCTGGCAGAGACCCTACTCTGAGGGACAGAGGAGGCGCTGTCTTCCTTCCAGACACCTTCCCCGTAGACCCATCCCGAGCAGCCTCAGAAGCACTGGTCCCTGAGGCCAAGCCCAGGATGGCCCCTCCTCCCTCAGGCCCCCGAGACTCCTACTGCTGTGCGCTTGGGGCCGCGCTGCCGGCCTGGGGCATCTCCACCACTGGGCTGTCCTTCTCCAGGACACACCCGTCCTGAGGCCGTGCGCTTCCCCACACCGGGCCCTCAGTGTCCTCAGTGTCGGCGTCTGCAGGCTGGCCGGCGACACCAGGGTGCCCGCTTTCCTCCCACCCCGGGCCCGACAGGGTGCTCCCTGTGCTCTCCTTTCCTCGCTTGGCTGGCAGGCCACGCCTGTCTTGCTGGACCTGCTGCCGTGGCCAGCCCTGCCCCGGCCTGATCTGCCGCAGCACCTGGCGTGGTGGGAGCAGAGCCCTTGGGTGCTGGGCCTCACCCTGCCAGCTGTCCTGGGGGCCCTGGACACCCCACTTCCCAGTTCTCGCTCCTTCCTCTAGCCCCCACCCCCCAGTCTTGTGGCCCCAGGGCCAGCGCCCACCATCCCATCCCGGCCTCTCCCCATCACGGGTGTGCTCCAGGACTCTCCCCTCCTCCCTCATGTTGGTCCCTGGGACCCAGCTGGCACCCCAAAGCCTCTCTCGACACCCTTCCACACAACTCCCAGTCAGGGCAGCACCCTCGGAGGTCCCTCCCTGCTGGCCCCTGGCTGGCCCCCTTCTCTTGAACTCCATCCCCACCCCCTGGACACCTCGCCTGTCCCTCAGGTCCTGGCCGGTCCCCCTCGGGCCCACCCCACGCGTGGGCTGGCTCATCCGTCCCAGGCACCTTCTCAGGGAGCACCCCCCGCCGCATCCTCTCCCAGCCTCACTCCCCACCTGTGGCCTGTCTCCTGAGTCTGAGTCTCCTCCCTCCCCTGTGAGAAGGTTTCCCGCTGGGCCCCGCCCAGCACAGCAGCCCCAGCGTCTCTGTCCCCCATCCCCGGTGCTGAGCCAGCCCTTCTAGGAGGGAGTGGCTGGCCGTCCCCGCCCCCACCCCGGGGGGGGGGTGCTGTGTCCAGCGGGTGCTCACGCGTGCGTGCAAGCAGCACTGCGGGCCTGCTGATGTCGTTCTTGTTGTTGGCGTTGCGCTTGACTGAGAAGACGGAGATGTTGTAGGTCCTGCCAGCTGCCAGGGCCCGGAGCTGGTGCCAGGAGCGGCTCCGGTCAACGAAGTCTGTGCGGCGGTAGGAGCCGTCGGAGGAAGCGTAGGTGACCGCGTAGCCGTCGAGCACCTGCCTGGAGGCCTGGCCTTCGGGTGGGCGCCAGGAGACCGAGACCCCGCTCTCCTCCACTCGCTCCACCTTGAGGGCCGTTGGTGGGAAGAGCTCTTCAGGGTTTCGGTCAAGAACAAGGGAAGTGGGGTGGTCAGCTGTCGGCCGAGGAATCCCCGGCCCCCAGGTGGGTGTCTCTTGGGCCTTGCTAGCCCTGGTTGCAGGCGGGCACCCTCGTCTGGTGTCTGGCTGGAGGCTCCTGAAGGGTCTGCACGTGTGCCGCCTGGGGGCTCGTGTGCTCCTCCCTGCTCCGTGGGCGGCGCCCGGGGTAGCAACTGCCTAGACCTGCTGCCTGGGGGCCGCTCAGCCCCTGGCCCGTCCCGCGGGGTGTCTGCGGCCCCCTGAGGGAGGGGAGCCCCGCGCCCACGCAGGTGCCCCGGCCGCCTCACCTTTGGCACAGTCCTTGCCCGTGTAGCCCACTTTACAGGTGCAGCTGTGGGAACCGTTGCTGGCCAGGCAGTAGCCGCGGCCCCCACAGGGGCTGGAGAAGCAGGGGTCACTCACTGGGAGAGGGGAGAGCGGCAGTGAGTGCCCCTGGTCCTGGCACTGGGTCAGTCCCATGTCAGTGTGCAGGCGGGTGGGAGGTGGTGTCACGGGTGGTCCTTTGGGGAGGTGGTTGTGTGCTGGGGGGACACTCAGAGGGCAAGCGCAGGACTTGCCAGGGGCCCCACCACCACCCCAAGCCAGGGTGTCCTGGCAGGTGGCTGGGCCCCACCTGTCTCGCAGTGGTAACCGAAGAAGCCCTCTGGGCAGACACACAGGTAGGCGCCCCCGCCGTTCTCACACCGGCCTCCGTGCTGGCAGGGGCTGGAGTCGCAGGCGTCCACCTCTGGAGAATACCCAGAGAGTCGGCCAGAGCGGCAGGGGGGTGTCTGGGGGAGGGAGGAGAGGACAGCGGGAAGAAGGGGAGGGAAGGCAGGGGAGGCCGGGCGGGGGTGAGGGAGGGATGGGGGAAGAGGGCGAGCCATGGAAGTGCCCCGACCCTTGGTCACCCCTGGCCCTCGCCTCCCCCTGACACCGGGGGTCCCTCCCCTCACGGGTCCTGTCCAGCAGGGCCACGAGGACCGCCCCATCCCCTCTGCTCTCTGAGCAGCCCAGGGTCTGTGCTTGCTGAAAACACGTTTTTCCGGGGATGTCTGGGGCATCACGAGGGTGGGTGAGGGTCTGGCACACGGGGGACTCCCCAAGCGCAGCCCCTACCTGTCTCACAGTGGACTCCAACGAAGCCTGGGGGGCACTGGCAGACAAAGGCCCCCGGGAGGTCCCTGCAGGAGCCTCCATTTCTGCAGGGCTGTGCCCGGCACTTGTCCGTCTCTGCAGAGACCAGACATGAGGCTGCATGCCCCACACAGGCCTGCACGGCCCCACACGACCCCCGGGTTTCCTGTGCACCAAAACTTCAGCCTCATGCCTGCCCCTCCACTATCTGCCCAACAAAGCCCGCCCCAGGCCGTTCCTTCTCTTCACTGCCCAGGCTTCTCAGGGGCCCCACTGGACATCCTGGGTCTGCCCGTCCTGCGGGGCAGTGTCTCTGTCTCAGGGCTTAGAGCCCTGCCCCAGCGTGGGGGGTGCTGGGCTCATTCGTGAGGCACCCAGCAGGCCGCCGCCTGGTCTGGCTCTGAGCACTGGCCCAGGCTGCGGGGTGTGGTCTGCCCTCTCTGCAGGCCCACCTTCTTCGCCCCTGAGGCCAGAGTCTGCAGGAGGCGGGAGAAGAGGGTCGAGGTTAGCTTTTCTCAGCTGAGCTCTCAGTCTCTGGGGAGGTGCAGGCAGAGTCCTTCTGGACATCAGAGCTGGCAGGGGCCTGAGGGAGCAGGCAGTGCCCAATCAGAGACCAGCCCAGGGAGAGGGACCAGCCAAGGGTGGCTGCAGCAGGATGACCGTGGCTGGGGGACGCCAGGGCCTCAGGTCCGTGGCCAGGGTGCTGGATCTGCTGGCCCCCAGGAGGGCCAGGGCCCATCTTACCCAGCTCACAGTGGGCTCCTTCATGCCCTGGGCTGCAGACACACAGGTACCCGGCGACGCGGTCCTGGCAGGAGCCCCCGTGCAGGCACGGCTGGGATCGGCACTCGTCAATTTCTGAGAGAGGCGAGCTCAGGTGCACAGGCGCCAGGAGAGAGCCGGGAAGAGAGCAGTGTTGCCGTAGTTGGGGAATGACACGAAGCCAGTTTAAGAGGGACATTAATTAGCTTTGCTGCGAGGAGCTGGACGGAATTCTATGACATCCCCTTGGTGCCTGGAGAGCCCAGAGCCCAACACAGCACCCTCGAGAGAAGCAGCACACTTCAGACTAGGGGCCGGGCTGGCGGGCGCCTGTGAAGCACGGGGGACGCCCCTAGTGAGCGTGAGGCCCTCAGAAGACACTGTGGGGCCCAGTTCGTTAGGTAACACTCCCGACGAGGCAGCACACTTGGGGGTGACCCTTCATTTTAAAGTCCTCACCACGGGGTGGTTTTTTTCAAAAAAACTGGGAGTTGTGCTCCTGAATTTAAAATGCTCAGTTTAGAAAAGCTTAATTTTAATGCTTAACATATGAATAAGTAAATAAACAGCAGGGACATAATGACACCTGGGGGCCCGCACCCAGCCTGGGCGCGAGCGTGTTGACTGACTGGCTCATCTGGTCACGGACACCCCTCCCTGTGACCTGAGCTTCTGTGGTTATCACCTCTGTGCCTCCTTAAATTAGGTTAAACATTTTAATGAACGCCCTGGACGGCAGCTGGTTTTGTTTTGCTATTTATGAACTTTATTACTAGGATATTGTGGTGTGTACACCTATCTCTCAACGTTATGTTAAAATCTCTGTAACATGGTGGGTCGCAGTTTTCACTGCTGTGTGATATTCCTCGATGTGATTATTCCATACTTTACCCTTTCTTGTTTGGCAGGCATTTGGGTTGGTTTTAGACTTTTTGCTACTGCAAAAAAAAAATGCATCTATGTCTTTCACATCTCGGTGTAGATGTGTGATTTTCCTAGATTTATACCTAGAAGGAGGGTTGCTAGGACACAGTTTACATGAGTGGTCAGCTTGACAGACCGGTTACCAAGTTGTCCTCAAAGTGCTTACACCAACGTACACTTCTTCCAGCAGCTTATGAGAAGTCCTGCGGCTCCACCTTCTCACCAGTACACGGGCTTTGTGCACTTCGGAGGCTCTGCCAGCCGAATGCACCTCACCGCGCGTTTGCTTTGTATTTTGCTGATCGCTCATGAGAGAACAGCCTTCTCTCGCTCGCTGGCTTCACGCACCTCCTCTTCCGCGAAGTGGCTGCTTGTGTGTGGAGCCTGCTTTCCTGCTGGGCAGATTATTCTTTTCTTGTGATTCATAGAAGTCTTCACACGTTCTTGAAGGCAGTCGTTCCGTTCGTACTTGCACACGTGGACGTACATGTGTGTGTGATGCGTGGTGTGGGTGGGTGTGGAGATCTGCAAGCTGCTCTCCGCCTGTACCTTACATTCACTTTCTTAAGGCTGATGAATTTACGTTCCTAACTTTCATACAGTCTGTTTTTTCTTGTTATAGTCAGTGCTGTTTTGTGGCTGAAAGAATCATTCCCGACTCTAAGGACAAAAGGATACTTACCTACATTTTTCACACAAAATTATATTGTTAAAAAAATTTAATTCTTAATCCATCTGGAGTTAATGGTGTGTGGTGAGAAGTGGGGAAACAATGTAACGTTTTCCCAAGTGCAGAACCATCTTGTTCCAGTGGTCGTGAAGACTTTCTCACGTGCTTGCTTTCAGCAGTTTACAGTTTTAGCTTTTATGTTTACGTCTATAACTCACTTCACACATAGAGAAGTCACCACTTGGATGCTGCTGTGCACAACACTGACTCACTTCACTTGCCAGGTCCTCACTGCTGGGACACGGCGGTGCAGCTGCTCTGGGCCCTGACCCCGAGTCCTGTGGCCGAGCTGAACTCACCGACTAGTCCTGTAGGTTCTTTCGTAGACTCTGAGGATTTTCCGTGTGCACCGCTGTGTCCTGTTGCTGCTGCTTGTCTGAGAGACATGCCTTTATTTCCTCTTCTTATCTGCAGCGCTGTCTCGGGCCTCCAGGACAGCGCTGGAGGGGACTGGTGAGGGGCCACCTTGGCCTTAGCACTGGTTGTGGCGGGAGGCCTTCACCAGTAGGTGTTCTGTGAGCTGTTGGTTTTCTCAGGGACGCTCTTTTCCAGGTTGAAGAAATTTCCTCCACTCTTATTCAGGGCGGGGGGAGTGTGAACGCAGCCCCCCACTGTCACAGGGGAGTTTCCTGCGTTTGGGGAGGTCACAGGGGTCAGCACACCCGGACTGCAACGGAGGGGCCTCGCCTTGAGCTTTTCCTAACAGTGGAATTTTGTCAAATGGTTTTTCTGCATCTGTTGAGATGTTCCTGTAGTCTTCTCCTTTATGTCCTGCCATGGTGAATTATGTTAATTGATGTTCAAATGTTAAACCAACTTGTGTTCTTGAGATAAACCTCACTTGACCAGGCATTATCCTTTGGATGGAGTACTGAGTTGACTTAGTAATGTTTTGTTCGGAGTTTGGTGCTATGTTCATGAGGAATAGTCGCCTGTAATTTCATTTTTTGTAATGACTCTGCTTTTGGTATAAAGGCAACACTGGTCTCATGAGTTGAGACGCGTTCTCTCCTGTATTTTCTGCAAGAGCTCAGTATACAGTATCATGCTTTAAATGTTTGCTGGAACTCGCCAGCGAAGCAGTGTGGTCCTGCCTTTTTCTTTGTGGGAGAGTTCTTAGTTACAAATTAAACCTACTTAATAGCTATGAGGCTGCTCATATTTTCTGTTCATTCCCGTGTCAGTTGTGGTCATTTGTGTCTTTCAAGGTGGTAGTCATCGTTTTCTCCAGGTTGTAAGACGTGTTGGCCTAACGCTGTTCACAGTATGTCCTTGTCGTTTAAATGCTTGTAAGCTCTTTAGTGATGTCTCCTCTTTCCTTCAGTTTTTCTTTTTTCCCCCTTGATCAGTCTGGCTAGTGGTTTATTATTTTTATTGACCTTTTCAAGGAACCAGCTTTTGGTTTCATTGATTTTCTCTGCACATGCCTCTCTTAGAACTCGGTTTTTTATACTTGCTGATATATAAGAACGCAGCACACTCGGTCGTAATAACCTGTATCCACTACACGTAACCCTTCCTGTCGTTTTCAGTAGTTTTCCCATAGGTGAGAGACAACCGTACCAGCTGCAAATACTGACATTTTTACTTCTTTTGCATTTCCATGACTTTAATTTCTCTTTCTGACTTTATTGCATAGGCTAGTACTGCCAGCGTAATATTGGTTGACTTAGTGCTAATGGGCATCCTTGTCGTGTTCCGAATTTTAAGGGGAGTGTTTCTCTGTCTAGGATAACGTCTGTTCTAGCTTTGAGGAGATTAGCTAATCTCCTTCCTCCCGTTGGTAGCTCAGCATGTCTGGGTCAGTTCAGCAGGAGAACAGCTTTTGAGTCCCAGACCCTCCCTCTGAATAATCGGGATCAGGAAGCTCACTGCTCCAGGGCCCAATGCTGTAACCGGTGCTCCTGCCTCTGCAAACGTGTGGGGCGCAGTTGTTGTGCTTCAGCTGGTGTGTGCCTGGCCTGCCCCCCTCTCTGTGGGGTAACGAACACCTGGGGGCTGGGTGGGCTTTGCGATGTCTCTTTTAAGTTTTTGCTCCAATAAATCCTGTGTTATTTTACACCACATGGTACCAGAGGGGTGTGTGTATGTGTTATGTTATTTTCCTCTGGATAAGGAAATACTTTTTTATTCCTTATTCGGTAAGAATTTGTTTCATGAATGAGTATGAATTTTATCAGATGCTTATTATGTGTTCATTGAGATTCTTACATAATTTTTCTTCTTCAGTTGGTTAACGTAGCAGATTTTTCTAATATCAAACTCTTTTCAACAACCCAACTTGATAATGGTTTATACATTCTTATAGACTGTCAGATTTCTGCATCTAGGTTCATATGTTTAACGGACCCATAATTTTACTTTCTCCAAATGTCCGTGTCTGGTGTTAGCATCAAGGTTACGTGGTCTCACGGAGCGGGTTGGCACACACCCTTTTCTGCTTTCTGGAGGAGGCCGTCTGGGCTGTACAAGAAACAGCCTGTTTCTTGGCGGTTTGGTAGAACTTACCCATAACGTTGTTTGAGCCTGTGTTTCTTTGTGTGTCTTTGCATCCTCAGCTCTCGGATAGGTGAACAGATACGACTCTGTGGAGTATCTGGTGTTTCCTTGATGTCACAGTGAGAGGGGTGGTGTTTTGTGGCTGCATCCTCGCCGCACGGAGCACCTCGGTGTTTATAAAACGCCGTTTTACCCTCCCACACCTGCTGTCGCTGCTGAGAAGTCCGATGCCAAACTGGTTCTCGTTTCTTTTTCCCTCTGGATGCTTTAAAGTTTCCTTTTTGTTTGTCGTACGTCCTTTACCTTTTTACAGCGTGTCTAATGTTCCTCGTCTCTCCTGTTTGATGCTCCGTGGGCCCTCTCAGCCTCCGGTCCTTGGGAGTTGAGCTCCACCGTTGCTCAGACGTTTCATCCTGTTGACATTTCTTCCTCTCCCGCTCAGATTCCTGTTATCTCGGTGTCCGCCTCCAGCGCCTGCGTTTCCATTCTGATTCATGTGCATTTCCCTGCTGCTTCCTGGTACAGCTGCTCAGACTGGTCTTTCAGCTCGCTTGCTTGGTCTTCACATTTGTAGGTTGTGTCTGGCTTTTCAATTATTATAGTTTTTCAAACCTCCTATTTCTGCTGTCTTTTAAAAATTATTTGTCAATCCTGTTTCTATGGCCAGTGCCATGTTTCCTGTTGTATGTTTGTCACGCTTATGCTATATTCTTATTTCATCTTCAGTACTTTTATGCCTAATAGTGTGTGTTGTCTGGACTTCATTATTGTTTCTGAGGTGGTTGTACTTCTTGGTGTCTTGACATCTTGGCTTGCGAGCTCATATCCCCTGGTGGCACCTGCTTCTCATCTGATGACATGTCCCCTAGACAGTAGCCACCAGGCCTGGGGGGCTCGGAAGGGCAGGAGTGAAGGAAAGGTGCCTGAGGCCAGGTGGCCCCTACCAGTTTTCCGGAACTCTCCACCTGGTGGATCGCACAGGTTCAGCTGGACTTTGCTGGGTATTTGGGGGGATAGCAATGTGTGGTGTGCCCCGCCCATCTCTGGGTGCTGTCCCGGTCCCTAAGCTACTTTGTTTAAAAATCTTAGTTTCATGAAGAACGTGCTAACATCACGCAGATTTCTGATGAACAGAGTTGGAGCGCTTTGGCTTAATGCACAGGTGTGTCTGTGGTGCCGTCTCCGGGGCGTGGGTCAGGGCCATGCACCCCGGCGCACAGTAGGACCCTGGAGGCCACGCTGTCTAGAGCGTCACTCCTCAAAGGGCCATGGAGTTCACTGGGGCCTTGTTCAGATGCAGGGTCTGGTTCCATAGGGCTGGGTGGGGCAGGGAGCAGGAGGTGGGCCCTGAACCCTCAACTGCCTCATTAGGGCTCTGCCTTTGGGCTGCCTCCTGGCCTCAGCTGCTTCATCTGCAGAGTGGTGTTGGGCACTGAGCCCTGGGGTGTCCTGAGGACAGGGAGGCCCTTAGAGAACAACCCAGAGTGGAGCTGGCACGGGTCATCGCCACCATCGCCACAGGGTCTTTGCCTCACTTTGCACGGAGGAGACCTGGGGAGGAGAGCGTGGCTCTGCCCACCCACCCACCCACCCACCCCCAGAGGGCCCCCCAGATCACCGTGGCATTGGGGAGGCTCGCTCCAGACTCCCTGTGGCTGGCAGACCCGGGCGTGGTTGGAGGCGTGCAGGCTGTAGCCCTGGTCGCATGAGTACAGGGCCACCGAGCCTGGCCGCGTGCCATTGAAGCGCAGGGTGGCATGCTTCACTTCCTCGGGGGGCCCGCAGTCCACCTCTGCAAGGACACAGCAGCCTGTCCTGTGCCCTGGGACCCCTGTCTGGGCCCCTCCCATGGCTGCACCCCTGCTCCCCCCACCCCCAGGCTGCAGGGTGGGGACCCTCTCTCCCCACACAGCCTAGCCCAGGATGAAGGGGCCTTGGCCCCCAGGATGGGCTGCCAAAAGACTCCTTTCCCTCTTTTCTTCCCTCCTTCCCTCCTTCCCTCCCCTCAGCCCCAGCTGGGCCCCACTCTGCTCTTCAGGGAGTTGGAAGGACTCCCGTGTCCTGGCCCTGACCCCCGGCCCTCTCACCTGCCTGGCACCGGCGTCCCGTGTACCCTGCTTGGCAGCGGCAGGAGAAGTCTGTGCCCAGGTCCTCGCAGGTGCCCCCGTTCACACACGGGCTCCGGAAGCAGGGGGACGGGGCTGCAAGGGCGCGGAGGTCACCGTCGCCCGTCAGTGGATCCTGCCCGGAGGCCTCTGGGTTGCGTGGGCGCGTCCTGCCTCCGGGACCAGCTCCACCTCCCGCCTCTCCACCAACAGGGCCGTCCCTGCCCACCAGACGCCTCTTCTTGTCTGCGAGGTGCCCTGGCCGTGCTGTCTCCAGCCGCTGGCCTGTGGGCCGCTGCCCGCCTTACCTATCTCGCAGTGCCGCCCGGAGAAGCCTGGGGGACAGTCACACTTGTACTTGCCGATGTAGTGGAAGCAGGTGCCACCGTTGTGACAGGGGCCGGAGGCGCACGAGTCTGGCTTCCCTGGAGGCAGAAGGTGCCGGCGGCCAGGGTCAGGGGTGCCCCTGCCTAATCCCTCGGCACCCCGGGGCGAGGCCTTCCCGGGACGCTCCCCGTGAGCCGACGCGGGGCCCCACCGATCTCGCAGTGCCTCCCGGCGAAGCGGTAGGGGCAGGTGCACCGGTACTCGCCGCCCGCCTCCTTGCACGTGCCCCCGTTCCGGCAGGGCCCCGAGCTGCATGGGCGTGGCCGGGCTGAGTGGAAGGGCAGAGAGAGACAGAGAGGCAGGTAAGGAGGGCCGGCCTCCTGGCCCGGCAGCACGCACGACACCCTACTTGCGTGTTCTCGGTCCTCAGGCACGGGTGGGCCTGCTTCCTGGCGGAGCCCCTGAGGCCCAGTTGCAGCAGCAGGCGGGCCGACCAAGGGCACGCCGGACTGGGACTCCGGTCTGGGACCTCGCTCAGCCTTGGGACCCTCTGCCCTCCCGTCCTCCCTCCCCTGCCACAGGCTCTGTCAGAGATCCACTGGAGACCCGGCCCCGCTGCCCTCACTGTCCTGCACGGTGACAGGAGCTGACGTCCACGGCAGAGGAGCCCTGTTGCAGCTCTGGTCTGATCTTCCCATTTTCTGTACCCGTGTTTGCGTGGGTGCGTTTCCCAGGGCGCGGCCCGTGCCGCAGGAGTCGCACGTGAAAGGTGTGAAGCCAGTGGCACGGCCGTCTCCCACCTCGAGGAGCCGCGCCTCCACAGGCCCGGCCAGGACTTTAGACCCTCTCCTCCTTGATGTTTGTTCTTGGGGGAATATGAGGCAGGAGGGGGCTGCCCCCACGCTCAGTCCTCCTCCCCCCCAACACCCTGTGGGGCCTCACAGGCTGCATGTCCAAGTTCTGGCCACCCCACCTGATGTCCCTTCATGTCCCCTCTCTGGGATGCCTTTGTTGAGGGCAGAGGGCCTTGGCGCCTGTGCAGAGAATGAGGCAGCGGGGCCTTCTCTCTGGAAACCTTCCTTTCCCTGCAGGGCTCGGGGACCCCTGGGGGCTTCGTGGTCAGAGCACTGGGGACCTGCCCTTGGAGCCGCCCTGAGAGCAGGAGAGGCTGCCAGGTAAAGTTCCGGGTTTCAGTCCTCTGGACAAGTGAGGGCAGCGGGGGGCTGGAGGGGTGTGTGTGGCCCAGCGCTGGGCCCCAGGAACACGGGCTGCGGCCACACCAGGGTCAGGCGACCGGCACCCTGGGCTCTGACCACGGGGATGCCTGGGTCACAGAACAGCCCTGAGCGTTGCTTCAGCCTGCGCGGAGGGGACAGTCCTGGGTGGGGGTGGGTGAGGCCAGTGACGCCCGCAGTGTGTTTAGGGAAGGATCTTCACATTCTTGAGAGGCTAAGTGTGAAATGTTGACAGCCTCCAGCTGAAGTAGATTTAATGAAGTCCTAACGAATTTTTTAAGTCAGTGACTCTAACATCCACTTGGAAGACTGCAGAGCAGAAAATGAAGCCTCCTCTGAGGGAAACGCAGTCACAGCCAGGAGGCCCAGGAACAGCTGGAAGGGTGGGTGGGCCGGGCGCACAGACAGTGGGCCCCATGCCGGCCCCCGGAGCGTGCAGCCGCGGCCCCCACCTTTCTCGCAGTGCCTGCCGTGGAACCCCCGCGGGCACTCGCACGTGTAGGAGTCCTCGTGGGCCTCGCAGGAGCCTCCGTTGAAGCAGGGGTCCGAGTCGCAGGGTGACGGCAGCGCTGCGGGGTCAGAGGGCAGGCACCCTGACACTCTGGCTGGAACCAGAGCCTCACCACAGACACTCAGCCAGGGGCTTATTCCTCGCGCCAGGCTCCACGGCCCCTCCCTGGAATTTACTCTATTTCTGATTTTTCTGGAAGTCACCCGCCCCCTTCCACGAGCCAGGACTGAGCTGTGGTCCACGAGAGGCTTGGCGTCACGCCCACCACCCTCATCTCGTATGACCGCTCATTTCCTAAGTCGCTAGTCACTTGCGCGCTACGGACAAACACAGGGAGATGCTGCTCTTCCAGCTGCGAGCGGGTGGACGGCCATGCCCGACCACAGTGGAGGACCTGGCACCTCTGGTGGGCTGGCAGGAAGCCCTGGCCTCCTGCTGCTGCCGCACACCCCGTCTCCCTCCCCCAAACCACCCCCCCGCAGCCCGCCCCGCCGCGCTCACGGTGGCTGGCGTTGTGGTCGGTGTGGCAGACGCAGAGGTAGCTCCCGCCATGCTCCATGCAGTAGCCTCCGTCCGGGCACTGAGTGTTCACGTTGCAGGGCGTGGCTGTGACCTCTGCGGGGGAGAAGCCCGTCTCAGATCCCGCGGGTCTCCCTGGGGACCCGGGGACCCTGCCTGGGGGCCCAGGGTCAGGCACTCTTGGGGCCAGCCCCTCCTGGGTCTCGCCCTGTGGGTCCAGGCCCAGGCCCCAGTCACCATGCACACTGTGGTTTGGGGGGCTCTCGAGGAGGGGAGGAAGGGAGCCCCCAGCCCACTCCCGGGCACCTACCAAATTCGCAGAGGAGCCCAAAGAAGCCTGGGGGGCAGTGGCAGAGGGTGGTGTTGGCCCCCAGGCACCTGCCACCGTTTCGGCACTCACAGTCGGTGGGGGTTCCTGTCACGGGGCGGGGGGGGAGGAGAAGCCTCCGATGTGGCGGTGCCAGAAGGCAGGGCCCTCTCCTGACCACTGTCCCATAAACCCACTGTGTACCGCCCCCACTCTCACAGTCCTTTCCCAGGGGGTTTGCACGTGCATTCACGGGAGGCCCCCGCCCTGCAGCCCGGCCGGCACGCACTCTCCCTGCAGTCCAGGCCCATGAAGCCCTCGGGGCATTCGCACACGTAGCCCTGCTCTGTGTCCACACAGGTGCCCCCGTTCTGGCATGGGGCCGAGAGGCAGGCATCGGGCACTGGGTGGCTTCCTGCAAGAGAGACTGCGGTCACCAGAGGCCACGCGGAGAACATGGGGAGAGCGAGGCCCAGTGTCGGAGAGGAGGCGACTTCACCTCCTCTCTTAGGGCCAAGTGCCTGCAGACGGGTCTCCAGCTGCCCCGCACCCCCCAGGCTCCTTCTCTGGGGCCGAGTAAGAAGCAAGAGCAAGGAGGGGCCCCACGGGATGCACCAAAGGGACCCGCGGGGCCAGGGATCGCCCAGTGTTTCCCATCAGGCTTCTCTGTTGGTTCAACACTTGGGGTCTTGCACATATCTTTCTGTCGTCGATGTCTAGCTTGACTTTGCTGTGGTCAGAGAACACAGGCCTTTTCAGTGTATTGGCCGTGTTTTACGGCCGACAGGCTTGCCCATCGTGGTGAAAGCTCCGTGAGCCCTGGAGAGAAGGTGGGTGTCTGTGAATGTCAGTCGGCCAGGCTGGACACGCCACCCGGTCCCTGCATCCTCCTGATCCCCGTGCCCGAGTCCTCCGAGCTGCTGGGAGGGGACTCTCTGCCGACGTCCCCCCGACCACGGGGGCTCTGACTCTCCTTGCAGGCGTGTGACTTGTGCTAGTGACCGCTGTGTTTTTAGAGCTATTATATCTTCCTGGTGAACTGGCCCGTGGTTGCTGTAAAAGGGCCCTCTTCACTCCTGCAGCTCTCCTTTAGTTCTGAGGTCGACCCTGAGTGATGTGAACGTGGCCGCCCCGGCCTCTCCTGGTTACTGTTGGCCACCCTGTTCTTTTTCGTTTTTCAGATGTTCTGTTTCCTCCTGTTTTTTCAGAATTTAGCTTTGAAATTAATATACAATAAAACTGATTCTTGTTTGATGTACACTTGTATGAATTTTAACACATGTAAAGATGTGTGCAGCCCCACCACAGGGAGGACGCGGAGCAGCCCGTCGTCCCACAGACCCCTTGTTTGGTCTTTTTAGGGTCACAGGCCCTCTGCTCCTGGACCCCTGGCAACTGTGATCTGCTCTTCACTGAGGCTCCGCTCCCGTGGTTCCTCCCCAGCCAGTGGATTCCCCCTCCCACCCCTGCCTGCACCAAGGAAAGATTCCAGGGGCTCCCCCCGTGGTCTCTCTCCGCTTCCCCGCCTCCCCTCCCAGTAGCCCTGTCCTTGCCCTGTCCTCCCCCCTACTCCAGCTACTGTCCCCTCACCCCGCCCCGCCTGTGGCCCAGCAGACTGGAGACCGCTCCCCAGCAGCCGTGGGGCAGTTGCAGGGCTCGCCCCACTTGGTCCCTTCTCTCAGGGACGGCCGCCCCCTGCTTTCTGTTGTCCAGTGGCTGAAAGCAGTTGTTTCATATCTTGTATCTGGCTTTCTAGTTGCGGACAGGGAGGTCCCCAGGGCAGTTACTCAGTCCTTCTTGGCCAGAAGCAGGAAGCTAGAGACAGTTTTTTGTATCTCCAGTTTTGGGCCAGTTTCCTGCGGGATCGGATCGGAATGCTAAGGCTTCTACCTGTGACGTGGATAGTGGGCTGTATCGGGTCCAAGTGCCAGCTGTCGTGCTGTAGTGTTTACTGTCATTTGCATCATTCCTTGTGCAAAATGCAGTTTCTCTGCAAAATCTTTTGCAGTCACTTATCTGTTTTCTGACATGAGTTTAGTTAAATGCACGGATGCTTCTATAACATCTAGGCGAGGTGAACTGTGATGCATCCCGATGATGTCCAGCGACAGGGAAGGCTGGCACCCCCCACACTGCGTGTGGCCACCGACCAAAGGCCACTGGAGGGCAGAGCCTCCATCTGCGTCTTATGGGTAAAACATAATTTCCTTCTTCAGCTTTCAGACTCAAAATAAAGCTGACGTGTTTGTCCGGAGCACCTCCCCGGGGAGAAGCATGCATGGCTCTCGTCGGCACGGGGGGCCAAGGCCTTGGGAGGTTGGGCGATGTCAGACACTAAAGCCTGAATTTATTTTAAGGGTCATAAAACCTAGTGGTCTTTTAATTGGCCTCCCAGTCGTACCCAGCATTTAAAACAACCTGCAGCCGGAACTAGCAGATTTCCTCCCGTGTAGCAGAGGTCAGCCTTCTCTCAACTCCCAGGGCTTGTTCCCTTGTGCAGAGAGAGGTCTGGAGTAGGAAGCAGAGGTATTAAACAGCCAGGACTCTCTGGAGTGTGAAGAGGGGCTGGGAGAATGTGGCCGTTCATCCCTGCTTTTGACTGATGGAGACCAAGCCCAGAGAGGGGAGCAGACTTGCTCAGCCACACACAGCATGTGGGCGGCAGAGCCAAGACCAGACCCCTGACCCCCGAGAGACAAGTAGGGTGAGCTGGACAGGGAGGGAAAGGGGGCAGCTCACCACGAGGCTGCAGGCATGTGGCCGTTACCTGTTTCGCAGCGAGGTCCCTCGAAGGGCTCGGCACACAGGCAGGTGAAGTTCCCTACCCGGTCGACACAGGACCCCCCGTTCAGGCACGGGCCAGAGCTGCACTCGTCCACGTCTGGGGGCAGCAGGGGTGGGAGCTCAGCTCCACGCCAGCCTGGGAGCGCCCCACACCCAGCTCCCCCGCTCCCCTGCCTGGCCGCCTGTGGGCGTCACCCACCCGTCTCGCATGCCTCGCCGGTGTAGCCGGCCTGGCACACGCACACCGCGGAGCCGCCGTCCGCCTCGCACCAGCCGCCATTCTCACACTCCTTGGTGTCACATGGAGATTGTGCTGCGAGGGAAGAGGGGTGAAGGCTGTGGGTTCCTGGCTGTGGTGGCCCCCGGGGACTCCTGCTGAGCCCCCCCTCCCGATTCTCCAGCTGCAGCTTGGGTGGCTCTGGCCATCTCTGGAGGCCATCAGGCTGTGGGGGATCAGGGTGGTCCCTCCCCCCCAAAAGCTCGCCTGAATTGGATTTATCTCAGCAGACCTAGGGTGGAAGGAGGGTGTGCATGCGCCTGGCGGGGGCACAGGGCTGAATCGAGCCAGCTCCCCCCCTCCTGGCAGTTGTCCCGCTAAGCTGACTGTGACCAGCGCTGTCCTTGTAGAACGGGTCTCCAGGGCACTGGCTGGACAGAGTCCTCCCAGCCGGGTGGGGGACGCAGCCAGTGACGGAGCCTGGGAGGGTGTGCGGGCCCGAAGACTCGGGAGAGGCTGAGGCGCGCGAGGCGACAGCCTGCTGCAGGGACGGGCCTGCAGAGGCATTCAGCCCCAGGCAGACTGGGAGTGAGCTGGTGGGCGCCTGCCTCTGTCCACCTCCCACCTGCCCCTCACCTGGGGTGCCGACCTCCCTGACTCCATGGTGGCTGCTGGCCTGCGCACCCTGGCAGCAGGTGGGGGGCATTGCCTTCCCCCAGCTATGTCACTCGTCCTGCTGACAGCTCATCCAAAAACAACTCAGTAAGGGAACCAGATGGATCCCAAGAGCATGTGACCTTCCCTGGAGCCCTGGGGGGCCAGTGGGAGGAAGGAGAGGAATGGGGACCCCAGGAGGCATGGAGGTGCTTTGGTGGTTGACAGCACATGTGACCCTGTCTCTGGGGCCCTGGCTCCCCCAGACAGCAGGCCTGGCACCTGTGGGAGAAGGGAGATTGGGGGATGAGCAGCACCCATGTCCCTGCTGGACTCTGCCTGGTGTCCCCGCAGATGGGGGCTCTGGGGGCCGAGGCAGGTCCTGAGAACTGAGAGTCCCGTGGGGGGCTGGGGGCTGGTACCCGTAGGTGTCGCTGTCGAGGAAGCCAAGGCTCAGGACTCCTGGCTCAGGCCCCAGGCCCTCCTGGGGGCTCACCCGGCCCAGACGCATGCACACACCGAGTCAGAGACGAGAACATTCCTGTGGCCGTCAGTGTCCGCTGGGGACGGTTTTCCAGACTGAGACATCGACGCGTTTGTCGCTTGTACGAGCTTGGTTTACCAGCGTGTTAGTGTGTTTCTAACAGCACTTACACGTCGGTAGTGTGTTCAGGGGGAGCAGTGTGTCTGGCTGAGTGGAGTCGGGGTCACAGAGCTTTGGCTTTAAGGGGCTGTTTGTTGGGATCCCCAAACAGCATCCCACAGTGAGACTAGGGGCGGGCGTAGGGTGTCTGCCTGCCTTCACCAGGTAGGTGAGGGGCCCCAAGGCGGTGCTGGGTGAAGGGCAGGCCGCAGAGGCCTGGTCTGAAAGCACTGCTTCAGAAGGGCCATGCTCAGAGGGGGTGGGAGACGGGGGTGTGACTGGAGTTTGGAAGCCACAAGGGGGTCTCTAGGAGGACCCCAGCCCATGCCTAGGCTGTGAGACCCCGGAGAGGAGAGGAACAGCCCCCACTCCTGCCATCAGGCATCCTGCAGCCCCTGGGACCCTGGGGCTCAGGTGTGTTCCTCTTACCTGTCTCGCAGGTGGGTCCCCCGAAGCCGGCCAGGCACTGGCAGCTAAAACTGTTGACGCCATGTGTGCAGGTCCCGCCGTTCTGACACGGGTGGGAGGCGCACTCGTTCACATCTGAAACACCGGGCGGGCGGGGGCCTCAGCGGAGGAAGTCGGTGGGGAGGGGTGGTGGTCTCCCACGGGCTGGGGCGGGGGGCCCGCCACCCCTGCTGTCCCGGCAGCTGGGGCACCTGCCCGCGTGCTCAGGGTCTCAGAGTCACTGCGTTTGGCTTGCACGTCACCCACACCCCGGGGACAGACCCCTGGCCCAGGCGCCCAGGGCCGATGGCTGTGCTCGCAGGGCCCCTGCAGCCAGTGCGGCTGAGCAGGTGGGCCCAGGGGACTCACCCAGGTGGCACCTCCTGCCGGCAAAGCCCGAGGGGCAGGAGCAGGAGTAGGAGGGGCGGCCGGTGACGCAGTCGTCGATGCACCTGCCGCCATTGAGGCAGGGGCGCAGGGCCAGGCACACGGAGGCTGCGGACATGGGAGGGGCGGAGCCGTCACCCAACCCAAAGGGCCCAGCTTCCAGAGTCGCTGTGAGGTCCCTGGTGGCCGAGTGTCCCAGGTTGCACTGGCCGGGTCTGCCCAGGGATCCTCGAGGATGGGCAGCCCGCAGAACTCAGCTCAGGGGCCCTGCCCCCCGGAGTGAGCAGCGGGGCTGCTGAGATGGGTGACTGTGAGCACAGACTAGCAGGTCCTGGAGCGTCCTGGGTTCTGGGCCTCCTGTTACTAGGAGGGCCCCAGGGGGAGCTGGCGGGGCGTCTGTGGGAGCACGAACACTCCGGAGGGCCTCCGGCCCAGAGCACCGCCAGGCTGCAGGCGTCTCTGAGGGCCGCCCCTGCTGCTCATCCACCCGTCCAGCTGGCCACACTGGTGCTCGGTCTGCCAGGTGTGGCTGCCCTGCCGCATGGGGCCTGTCTGCACGACCTGTTTCTGGACCAGCCTTTCTCAGACCCAGACTGCCAGGTGTGGATGCCCTGCCTCTCAGGTGTGAACCCACCCTCCCTTCCTGGTAAAGCTCATGTGTTATGTCAGCCCCAGGCTGACGCGCACAGGTGCCATCTCCTGGGCTTGCGGTGTGGTGGTGGGCGTGTGAGGGGGCTGGTCCCCCACCCCTGGCTCCGAGGGCCCAGCAGTGCCTCTTGCATCTGCTCCCTGCAGAGGCCTGGGACAGGGGGAGAAGCACCTCCACATGGGAATGGGGTCCCCGAGGGACTGACTGGACCTTCTTCTGAGGACCTCACTCAGGGTCACGGCCTGCAGCGTCTGCAGGGGAGCACGGACCTGCTCACCCCTACATCCACACCTGCCCCACCCCTGCTCACCCCAGTCCCCACCTCCACCCGTACTTTACTCCTCAACCTCAGCCCCAGCCCTCGGCCACTGGCAGGTGCCAGACCTCTCTGCCCCCCACCCAAAGCAGTGGCTGACAGAGTGGTGTCCCCGTGCCCTGAGCCACTGCTGCCCTGAGCCCAGGTGGGCAGAGCGGGCCTGGCTCAGCTGGGGCTGCAGGGCTTGTGCGCTCAGGGGTCTGCTTGCCACGGGGGGGGGGTGGAATCACTGGCGCCTGGGCTCCCTGCCCTTGAGTCCCTGCCCCCACGTCCAGTCCTTGGCACGCTGCGTGCCTGCCCTCCTTGGCCCTGGCCTGGGTGTGCGTGCCTGCTCCCCGGCCGGTCAGGGTGGGCTGCGCTGTGCTGGGTTCGCTCTTGGGACGGTGCAGGAGAAGCAGCCCCTCTCGGTGGCCTTGGTCCCCGTGGGGGTGTGAGGCAGTCTTTGAGGGAGGTCCTAGCACCAGCCTCACTGTGTCCCCTTGGCCGGAAGAGTGGCCGGCAGCCCTCCCTGGAGGAGCTAGATCAGTCATTTGACACCCCGCCCCCCCCATTTATAAGCCGTTTCAGGAGGATCTGTGACCCAGGGCTACCCAGCTGGAGGGCTGGAAACTGTCCAGGCTGTTTACACAGGCTGTGTGCTTGCCCTGGGGTGCACCCACTCCCACCTGCTGTGTGCTCTGTGCTGGAAGGACCCCAGGGTGTCAGGGTGCTCCCTCCGTTGGGGAGATGCCCAGGCTGTCAGACAAGCACCGAGTGGGTAAGAAGAGCACTTGGCTCCCAGGTGGTCCTGGGACGCAGGAGCCCCCAGGGGTGCCCTCCCCGCCCAGGCGGGAATGGGTCCCCCCTCCCCTGGAGCAAAGACAGGAGGCCCTCCCAGGGAAGACTGAGGCTCGGGGAGAGCCTGGACATGCCCCCGGCTTGGGGGAGGGGAGCAGAGGTGGGTGGGGTCACGCGCCCCCAGGGGCCTGGGCTGGCCCCCCCCTCCCGGAGCCACACCCCCTCCGCCGCCAGAGCCGCTCTCTGTCCTCTTACTTGTATGGCCGCAGCCCCCCACGCGCACCTGGGCATCATCGATTCTGAACGCCCAGCGCCCGGGCACGCCCACGTTGGTGGTGGTCTCCACCTCCGCCATGTCTGCTGAGCGCGAGCCGGGGATGCTGAAGTAGCGCCGCCCATCACCCGCGTTGAAGCCCGCCTGGAGGTGGGTGTGGAGAGAGCAGGAGCAGATGGGGCTGGGCCGGCATGCAGTCCTCCTCAAAGTTCTGGGACCCACCTCCCCCAACCCGGGTGGCCAGGGCCAGAGACCACGCGGGAGATGGCCTTGTGAGGGGGCTCTAAAGATCCAGGAGCACCCCCTACCTGCCCTGTGGCCCCACCTGAGTCAGCAGCCCCCCGGCCCAACACTGATCAGCAGCTCCTCCTGCCATGACACTGATGGGTCCTGGCAAGCAGTCCCTCAACACCCTCCCCCCACGCGTACTGCCAGAGGCTCCCTCCTGGGCTCCTGGCCTCTCCTAGGACACAGGGGCAAGTGTGACCTCAGGAGAAAGTAGAGAGCTGGGGCGTGGTGCGTTCATGTGGGGAGGAGCCCCTGCGGGCTCGCACTTGACCACGCCCTCCACACCTGGGATTTTCTGCTGGCCGCCATCCCTCAGGCCACCAGCCACCTTGGACCGGGCAGTATACACAGGACTCTGTCCTGGCTACAGCTGACCCTGTAGGGCCCGCCAAACAGGTCAGGACATACGTGCCTTTGGCTGGAGAAGATTCCTGCGAATCTGGGCTGTGAGAGGTCTTGGATTGCCTCATACCAGCCTCTACACAGTATGGGGTGTGTGGTGGGGAGGGGAAGTGTCCCCCTGCCTCATTAGCCCGTGACAGTCCTGGCGGTGGGGAGCAGGGGCCCCTACCTGGGCCGCGATGCCCCCCAGGCCAGAGGCGTTGCCCCCACTGCTGGCGTGCGTGCCCGTGGTCCACGTGATGGACTCGTAGTTGAAGATGGTGAAGGATAGCTTGCCATCGGTGATGAGTACAGTCTGGAACGTGTTGACCTGCCAGGGAGGGGGCCTGAGCAGGGTCCGGCACCCTCGTCCCTGCAGCAAGAGCCGCCCCGGCTGCCACCCCCCACATGCTGCCGTTGTCCACGGGCCCCTCCTCTGTCTCCCCATTAGATGGTCAGCCACAGAGAGGACTTGGGACCTCGTCCTCCAGTCCCTCGCTGTGTCCCCCGTGCTGGCACAGGCCAGGCCTCCCAGTAGTTGGTTGCCTGGGGAGTGAGTGAAGCACCCTGAGGGGCTGGGGGCCTGTGGACGCCAGGAGCAGACGCCGTGCCCTGTGGGTGAGAGTCCTTTTCCATGAAGTGTGAGTGGGCAGGGTCTTTGTGAGAGGGGCTTGTTTCAGACTGCGCAAAGGGTACGGCTGTTCAAGAAATGATCTTGGGGCCAATAGGAGACTCTGAAACACAATTAAGTTGGAGCTTTATATCACTTATGAAAATAAACCCCAAATCAAGGAAGGCTGTAAATGACACCATCATCATCCTAGAAGAAAACGGAGGTGCGTATGTCGCGCATCTTGGGGAAGGACTTCTAAGCATGACGTTGTTAAGTGCAAAACCAAAAAGGAGGTGGGCACACACGAGCACAAAACTGCTGAACGTAAAAGAGCCGTAATCAAACTGAAGGGCAGACGGCTGAGTGAAGTGCGTCTGCCGCATACCCGGCAGGCAAGGCTGGTGACGTCTTTAACTCGGGTGGGACTTCACGGATCAATACGAAAAAGAATAGAAAGGTTACATGAAGCGAAGGAAGCAAACACACACATCACAGTCGCGTGCAACCAGCAGACCACCCCCTGCGACTAGAAATCGAAAACTTCAAGTTTAAAGAAAGAGGGCGGCGCTCCTGTCTCGCCTTTACAGTTGGCAGGAAGGAACGTAAGAGTGAGTTTGCCTGGGGTGCAGGGATTCGGGCACTGCTGAACGTGGCTTATGCGAGTGTGAGTGGGCACATCCTGAGGGGACGGTCAGAACCCTGCAGGCAGCATCTCCCTTCTGGAGGCGCGTGCCAGCGTCTGGCTCTGAGATGGCTGGGGCTGTGCAGCTGCCCGCCGGGGCACCCTGCACGCCGGCTGGGGTGCACTGCACATGGTGGGAAATCTCACTGACGGGACGGTGCATCTTCTTCCGCAAGTGAGACCTGCCATCAGGGAGACTGCACGCCTCCTTCAGGAGGGCACACTTAGGTGCTGGTCCTCCTAATACAAGGGGGACGCCGTGGCTTTAAGGCTGGAGTGGTGGGACGGACTGGGCAGGGCAGGACTGTGGTCAGAATGGGGCTCTGCGAGCTGGGCCAAGTGTTGGAGGAGGATGAGGACGTGCCTGAAGCTTAGCCGTCACTGTTTGTCGCCATCCTGCTCCTGGAGGCACCCCCAGAAGGCGGGCTCCCCAGCCTCCCAGCTTACAGATCAACTTCCACCCCAGACTCAGTTCTGATTCCCTGTCTTACAAGACAGTCATTTTGGAACTGCCATCTCTGGGTTTGAAAAGAATGTTCAGTTTCCCTCTGTCTGCTTGAGAGGGGCCCTGGGTGCCTCCTTCCTCCCAGGCACAGGGGCAGCAGGGGAATGGCTCTGCAGAGGGCGAGCTGTCGTTTTTTAAATGATGCAGAAGAGCATGCAAGGACGAGGAAAGCGCCTGTGGTACTGCTGAGTGAAAAGACTCTCACAAAACGGCACGTTCTGGGTGGTTCTATTTATTGTTTGAAGTGTGGGTCAGTACACAGCAGGGAGTGTTGAGCACGAGTTCTCGCCTGGTAGTGGGGTTGTAGATTCTTTTTCTCTACTTTTTGTTAAAAAGACATTTTCTTGCAAATTGGTGTTAAGAAAAACAAAGAGAACTTACCAAGTGTCAGCAGGCTGTGCGTGAACAAAAGTTCCCTCAGGTGAAATTTACCTGTAGTCGTGGTTACAGGAAGAGCCTGTCTTTCCTGATTCCCTCAGTGACCGTCTCACTCTCCCGGTGTACCTGGCCAGCCAGCCTGCCTTTTCTTTCTCCTCTCGGCTGCTGGAGAGCGCCACCAACCGCACATCCCTCCCTGTGCTCCTTCCCCACCTGCACCGGCTACCCGAGCCACCGTGGCTGGGCACATCCAGGACCAAGCCTGCCCCCTGCAGCCCCGGACCCTGAGTGCAAGCCTCACCTGTCCCCACTCGCACGTGATGGGGAACCAGGCACTGCCCTTGACTGCTCCTCTCTCCCTCTCAGCCCAGTATTTTGTTACATGCACCCCTAATCATTGCCCCGAACCGTCGAGTTCCTGCAGCTCTAAACCCCCCGTGTGGCCAAGCCTGCGCCCTCTGGCTCCCACAGCATTGGGGAGGGCCTGCGCCTGGCCGGCATGGCACCCCTGTTACATGGTCGTTAAAGTCACACCCACTAGAGTGTGACCCATGGGAGAGACATGGCCTGTCTTGCTCTGTCTGGGGCTGCCTCCCCAGAGCCCAGAGCACTGCTTGTCCCCAGACGTGCCCCTAAGTGCATGTGTCCTAAGTGCCTGGGCAGACAGTTCTGAGAAGGGCCCTGCACCCCAGCGCCTCTTTCCCAGAGAGGTGCCCTCTGTCTCGGGCATGGCCGTGACCCGGTGCCCATCGCAGACTTGGCCGTAGGAGCTGCTCAGTAACACCTGTTGCCAGAGGGCAGCCGCTCTCCTCACAGGGGGCCTGCCCACCACGCCTACCACACACGGGGTCAAGTGATCAGTTATTCCTGAGCTTACGTTCTGATTGTCTGGCATTGTCAAGGAGTGACGTATCAAGTGGCATAAACTCCCTGTGTAACCTTAGAGCACTGGACAGTTCCAAATGCAGATCCTTCTGGCACAGACCGCCTGTGTCTCCTGAGTGTGTGAGCTACTGTGCCGGGCCACTCGGCCTTTTCCTGGACATGGGTCCAGGCTCCATCCTCCTCCAACCTGGCTCTGTGACCTTGGGCAAGTGACTTCGGTCCCTGAGCCCAGTACACACCCCTCGGGCGTGGACGGGTGATTACGTCTGGCCCACCTCAGTAAGGCAGGGGGCCCTGGAGGGAGACCCTGGGCCCCAGATGGATGTCCTCCCTTCCCTAGGACAGAGGACTCACGGGGGAAGAGGAGCTGCCTCCAAAGAAGGTCACGCGATACCAGGTGGCTACAAAAACCCAGGTGGCGGAGAAGTCTGGGAGCTCCGGGAAGTAAGTCCTGACGTCCTCTGTGGCTCTGCGCAGCGTGGCCGCGTCGGTGGCCTCCCGGTAGTACACGTCGCCGGCGCGCCTGTTGTCCACGTCTGCCCAGAAGGCCGCCACCACGCAGCGGTCCTTGGCGATGGGGAAGGCCGCTGGGGTGAACTGGGAGACCTCCTTCAGGAAGGAGATGACCCCGTTGTTGTTCACCTGTTGGGGCAGAAGGGGTCAGGGGGGCTGTGGGCAGGCAGGTGGCCCGGTGGCCTCCCCGAGCCCCACCCACAGGCACACTCTGACGGCAAGCCGGCCTCGGAGGGGTGTCTCTAGGACGGCCTGGCAGTTCCTGGCCCCTGATATGGGCCCCTGGTCTGCCCCACCCTTCCCAGACAGACCGTGGCTCCGGCCACAGGCTCTGACCCGTTTGCTGTACATGTTCCCTGCAGAGTGCCCGGATCGGGGCTGCCAGTGTGGGGTGGGGGAGCTCCAGTAGGGGGCCCCTGCTTTGGGTGGGTGGGGTGCTCAGACCTACCCAGCGGTTCCTCGGTCCCACCTGAATCAGGGGCATGGGGAGGGCAGGGCAAGGCCCCAGCCCCTGAGCAGGAGGCTTGTTCGCCAAGCAGAGGTGGGGATGGATGGGGAGGCTGGAAGGGCCTCGATGGCCGGGCTGGGGGGGCCTGTGTTCAGGGCTCCAGGCAGTGGGGAGCCCCAGAGGCCCTGTACCTGGGGGCGGAGCAGCGTCTTTGCTGTCAGATACAGCTGGCCCCAGTGCTGGCCCTGCCCCTCAGTGGCTGCGCAGCCACGAGGCGAGTCAGCCCCGCCTGGCTGCACTTCGGCTTTTCACCTGTGAGATGGGTGAACGCTCATGCTGGCGCCCAGGGGGCTGGGCAGGGCTGAGTGAAGTAAGGGTCACAAAGTTGGCTCTAGGCTGTTGTGATTTGTCCTGGGAAGACTGTGGTCAGAACTGTGTTTTCAGAAACGACCCTTTGGACGCCCCCTGAGCGTGAGGGAATCCTCTGTAGCCCAGACCAGCCAAAAAGGCAGATGAATATACCTCTCTTCTTAAAGGCACCAACGAGTGAACAAATGAATGAGTTTTGATTCCAAATCTCGGACCAAGAGAGACTGGAGGTGAGGCCATTACGCAAAGCTCCTTTTCCCCTGAGCGAATGCACCCGCAGATTTCGAAGCCACAGCTACCAGCCAGACCTGCAGTTTTACAGCCTCATGGAGAGAAGGAGATAGATGCCAAAACTAGGAGCTCGCTCAAGGCAGGGAACCTGATCGCCCCCACATTGTGCTGGGACCGCTAAGGCCCCCCCACAACAGGGTGAGCCCGAGGTCAGTGGTCCTTGTGCAGACGTACACGCTGCCTTCCCTTCCCGAGTGATCCGGGCACTGCAGGCCTGGAACGGAGATGACGTGGCTCCTGACAGGGCACGCGCCCAGGCTCTACGCAGAGGCAGAGACAACCCTCCCTGGGGTCAGAGGGCGACACCTCAGGCCTCAGGTTATTCCTAGAGATGTTTGTTCAGATACAAAACCCAGGACACCAAGATAGTCAGGCACACAGGAAGCAAGACACTGCTCACAGGAACATGCAGAGACAAGGGAAACGCCGGCGCTGGAATTCCCAGGCGCAGACTGTAAAGTGACTAGGGGTACTACGTTCAGAGAAAACTGAATGCAAGCTTTAAACTTCCGTCAAGAGAACAGCCAGAAATCACCTGAAAAAGAAGAACAGAGGAGGACTTACACTTACCACAGAACTACAGTGCTCGGAACAGTGTGGCACAGGCGTAGAGACACCTGTGGACCCACGGGACGGGACAGAGCGCCCAGAAGTAAACCCTCACGTACATGGTCAAGTGATTTTTTTTTTTGCTCTCCTGCATGTTGGTGTTTTATTATTTCCAAATCTCCAGCGTCTGTACAGGGTAATCGTAAGGGCAGTGTTCCGTGCTGCAGGTGGAGATGTCCAAGAGCCGCCAGGCCGTGTAGGGGCCGAGCTCCTGCTCGTGCTGGCAGAGCGCCCACACATACAAGCAAATGATTTTTGACAAGGGCGCTAAGACCATTCAGTGGAGAAAGGACAGCCTTTTCAACAAACGGTGCTGGGAAGACTGGACATCCACATGCAAAAAGATGAAGCTAGACCCTTACACAACACCATTCACAGAAGTTAGGTGAAAACAGATCAAGGACCTACACATAAGAGCTGAAAAGAGAGCTCACAAGAACACTCAGAGCAGGAGCGTCCCAGCACTGGCTCGGCACTGACATCACGGGCACAGGCGACAAAGGGACAGACAGACACGCCGGTTCATCCAAAGTGAGCGCTCTGCATCAGAGGTGCTGCCAGCAGAGTGAAGGCCGCCCGCCACACAGGAGGAGAGACAGGTGAACGGCCAGAACACACAGCGAAGTCCCACAACTCAGCAACGGCAAACAAGCCAAACAACGTGATTTTAAAAAGGGGAACAGGGAGCTTCGGATCAAGCTGGCGGAGCGGTAGGTCCAGGAGCTCGCCTCTCCTCACGACGACAACGAAACCAGGACTGAATGCTAAACAACCATCGAGAAAAAAGATTGGAGCCTAGCAAAACAGATCTTCTGCAACTGGAAACACAAAGAGGGAACCACAGCGGGACGGCAGGAGGGGCGTGCTCGCGATATAACTGGGCCCCATACCTCCCTGGGTGGGTGACCCACAAGATAAAGATTTGTTCAGTCGCAGAGGCCCGCCCACAGGAGTGAAGCTCTGAGCCCCACGTCAGGCTCCCCAGCTGGGGTCCTGGCATTGGGAAGAGGAGACCCCAGGACTTCTGGTTCTGAAGGCGAGTGGGGCTTGGCTCTGGGATCCTCACGGGACTGGGGGAAACGGAGACTCCATTCACCTGAGAAGCATACACGGAAACTCACATGCACCAGGTCCGA